CCATAGCTCTCCCCTAATATTTTATGGTAAATCAAAAAAAAAAAATGAATGTAATTAATAAGTTTTAAAAACACATTCAAAGCATATATTATACAAAGAAAATAATTTACATTAATGCTAAAACATACTGGGTTTACTATTATCCTTATAATATCACATAAGTTTTAATTTATATTCATTTCCTTTCATCCAAGTGTAAAAACTGATACTATAAGACTTATTTATACAAACCGAAAATATAACATTCAACATACATAATTGAAAGAATGAGTTGAAAAATGCATGGCATACCATGTTTTCTTTAGTTTATAGTTGTGTTTGTTTTTATTAGTTAATCATTAGTACCGAAGTAGTAACTGCATTATTCCTTAACAAAGAAAATGTTTAATGAAAACATACAACAGACATCTCCCTATATAATGTGGAAATATAAATCAAATCGCATGTATTTAAAACAAATATATAATAATATAACATGATTTAAAGACACAATATCAATGAAAACATCCAATAGATATCTTCTAATATTTTTTAGTAAAACATATAAAAATAAATGTGTAATTAATAAATATATTAAAAACACATTTAAAGCATATAGTATGTAGGAGGTAAAAATCACAATTGATTCACAGTCGAACGATGGACTTAATAAACATATGCGTCAACAATAGAATTATAAAAAGTATTGCATATAATTTGATTTTTAATTTTTATAACTGTTTGAAGTAATAAAAAAATGATTTACAAAAAAATACTATAAGACTCATTTACTAAAACAAATATATTATTTTAAAATATAATACATACCATGTTTTTTTCATTATTTTATAGCTGTGTGTGCATTTTATAATATCATTACAGCATTTCACATCAAATCAATCTGGTAAACAAAATATATTTTATATATTGTATCAATATATAATATAATATATTACATACATTGCAGGTGTATGTAATGAAAACATCCGATTACCTATATCTCCTCATATTTCTCGGTAAAACAAAAGCTCTGTTCTAATATATTTTGGAAAAACGAATAGTAATTAATGTAAAATGTAATGTAGTACGAAAAAGATAATTTACAAAAAAGGTAGAGAACCAACATACTCAGTAAATTTATTTCATAACGAATTAGAAAAATAAATCAATTTGAATGTATTTAACATGTTTAAAAAAAACAAATTTCCAATCATTTAACGTAATATAAAGACACGATTAAATCGTAGTCGAACGATAGACCTAATGAACATAGGTGTGAACTACAGAATTCTAAAAAGTATTGTATATATACTTTTTATATCCGATTGTGTTTATAAAAATATCATTGATGTCAATCACGTTGCTTTTTATTTTTTGGTAAGACGAATAAAAATTTATGTAATCAACAAATTTTAAAAACATGTACAGTGGAAAGAAAAAAGGTAAAACTTACCGGGTTTTCTTATTTACATTACATCACAAAAGTTTTAATTTCCTTTCGTCCAAGTGTAACGACTGATGTTGTAACACTCATAACTAAAACCGAAAAAAATAACATTCAATAAGCGGTGGAACGAAAAAATTTCAAAATGTAATATATACCGAGTACTCGTTGTTTTATAGCTGTGAACGTTTTGAACAGTATCGTTAGCACCGAAGACCCTTTGAATTCAATTCCTTTCCATTCAAAAAAAGTATAAATAAATCAAACAACAGCTATCTCCCTATATCGTTTGGCAAAACAAATCGTATTGAACGTACTTAACGCTGATAAAAAAACAAACTATATTTTAAACGTATTATGATGTTTTCTTCGTTTCACAGCTGTGTGTAAGCGTTCAACAATAACGTTACACATCAAATCAACATGAGTAAAGAAAAACGGATAAATAATTTTCGGTAAAACAAATCGAATATGTAATAACATGTATTAAATAATACGATTGAAGCGATGAAAACGATTTCACAAAAAAAAGTTTGAAACGAAAAGAAAAAAACGGACTTGACGGACGGCGGAAAATAAATAGAAAAGAAACCGCGAGCGGGATCAACACTCCCGTCGATAAGACACGGCGGCGGTGGTTGATAACAAACGGCGGCGGCGAAAATCAGACGCGACGGACGGAAAACAAAAACAGATTCCACGGGAGCGGAAACGACGCCCGTACAAGTCAACGGCGGCAGCGTATAATCCTGCAAAGAAGCCGGGCGGCGATGGCTCGGAATTGAACCTGGACCTATCGGGACCTATGCCTACAACCTGCCATCCTAACGAGTTGGAAATTACGAGAAAGATTTGGGCATTTAAACCGTTCGACGGGGACATAAGGTAGACGGAAGACCGATCGGTGATGTCACGTGCGGGCGAAACGTCACGGCGGCGCGAGAGGCACAGGTACAGAACGCTCCGATTGGGCTGGTGCTTAATGGTCGGACATCTTGGATTTTCATCCGGTCGCATCGGGAAAACGGTGAGTCGGAAAATCGAACGGACCGCTGAAATGGAAAGAGGAGACAAAAGTCTACGGGAAACGGTCGACGGAAAAAGGAAAAAGCGTCCGCGGGATTTAAAAATTTTTCCGACCAATCACCGGTCGGGGAATTATTTTAATATAATAGATAGATAGATAGCGATGGCCAGTAGGAACGATACATGGCAAAAATAGCCGGTCTGCCGTCTGCGTTAAGGCGAAATGCCTTTATACCCGCATAATAAAAGTAATAGTAATATGTTTGGGAGAATTTCTTATATAATGATAATATAATAAAAATATAAAATATATGTAATGATAATATTTCTTAAATTATAATATAATGTGTTTGATCAAAACAATATAAAAGATAAAATTATAAAAATTAATAATAAAAAATAATAAAACCTAACTTATGCCAATGGGGGGGGGGCGAGGACCTTCGGCCCCCCCTTAAATCCGCCACTGAATACTCACAAATGAAATGATACGTTGCCTGTATTATCTTTAGAGGATACATGACAAACAATGCAAGTACGAACCATAGCTTGAAGACAAATGATAATTCGTACAGAATCGGGAATACTTCAATTTGTAAAAATGTTAAATAATTTTAAAATAAAATGCGTTAACAATAAAAATATTTGTTATCATCATAGATATCTTCTATTATCATTATGAAATAAAACTAATGATAAAACCCCTTGCTAAAGTGAGTGCACTATATAAAAGCAGTCTATCTCTCATCCACATTCCGGACCGCGACCCCTTGTATTGTTAATATATGATTGGCCTATCCATTCTTCTATTATCTATGACAACGACAATGTATTTTACAATACCGTTAGGTTAGCACTTGACGGGAAAAAAATCGACTGCTATGGCATAAAACATACACTCTTAGATTGTAAATAAATCACTCTAGAATGATTTTAGAGTAAAAATCATCATAACAAATTTTAATGCACACTATTGCGTACTTTAGATAATAATCTCGAAGATTATAAAAAAAATAGATGAATTAATTGTGGGTTGACGAATCCATCCAAAAATAAACAGCTGGACATGATACATATTATATCAGATAGCAGTATTAGTGATCGTTATATTAGTATAATAAGTATTTATAAACGTATAAATATTTTTTCAAATAAACACCACTTCATATGAAGCCTATGGAAAATATTTTCAAACTATTACACCCATCGTTGAAATATTGCGAATTTCTATTAAATTAAAAATGTTAGATAATTTGATGAAGTTATGTCAAAAATCAAAATAGGGATCAAATAATAATGAGAAAAAAGTTTGGGTCAGCTGACCTCCCAAACCTCCCATAGGTCCGCCCCTGAATACCAGCCACTTCAGCAACTGTAGAATGAAATTTTTATCTCCTCCACCAATTATAAACTTGAATGTGATCAAGGATAACAAAAGAGCGCTTAAATTAATTTAATTTGTATTACTTCATTGTTACAGAAATAGTTATAATAAATTATATTAGGGGCGGGAACCTTTTCAAAGGAAAGAGCCATTTTTTTAAAAAATTACAAAACTATAATATCCAGGGAGCTGCACAGGTTTGAACAACTTTTTTTTTTTTAATTGTGGTGTATAAATTATTACTTTATTAGTAAATATTATTAAAATAAAAATAGTATTATTATTTCATTGAAAAATTGGTAGGCAATAAAAACATAATAATACGTCTTAAATGTAGACAATATGGAAAAACTTTATTTCATTAATTCATTATTATTATTAATGTTTATACAAATATAATATTATTTAATTAAACACAATAACATACAAATAAACGTATCTACTTAATATTGGTGGGATTTTTGACACTGAAATTCTCCGGACAGCTTATTCAATTCTGGAGAGTAATCTGTAGTTTTCAACTTCAAACAAACATTAAGGCTGATATCATTCAGTTGATTTCTTAATTTATTCTTAATAAAGTTCATAATTGAAAATGTTTGCTCAAAATGTAAGTAGATCCAAAAATGGTCAAAATTCCGAAAGCAACCATTTTTAATTGGCTGAAACTTCCGGAAGACTGTTCCATACGTCAAATATAACTTTCTCTTCTTTTTGAAATTTAGCGAGTTCCGTCCATTTATGGTTCGCAGCTAAAATTCCTTTTTCCCTTTCCAGATTTTCAATATCCGTTTTCAAATTCTCAAATTTTGAAGGTCTTTAGTTTTTAGTAATATTAATTCCAATAAAAATAGTCTTTTCTCAACAGATGAAAACGATGGAAAATGAATTTGTCCAGTCACCGGTGTGAGTGATGATGTCAAGAAATTTAACGTGAATTTATATTTTTGAAAATCTTCAAATCAATAACATAACCTGAGCTTTCGGTGTACTCTTTTAAAGATTCAAAATGATCAGGATTTCCGCTGTCAATATCTTCTGAAAAAAGTTGAAGTTGTTGAAAGAAAGAAAGAACAGTTTCCAGTAGCGTATGTGCTGTATTTCCCTTAACTTGAAGCTTTTTATTTAAGTGATTTAGGAATGAAGTCAAATCTACAGAAAAATACAATTTTTGTAGCCACATATCATCGTAAAATTCAGGGTAATTTATGTCTTTATTCGTTAAATAATCTTTTATGGGTTCGAAACAATCTGTAAAGCTCTTCAAAACAGCCCCTCTCGATAACCAACGTACATTACTGAACATTAGAAGATCCTTGTATCGAGCATTAACTTCATCAAGTAATGCACGAAACTGTCCATGGTTCAGAGCTGAAGCTATGATTTTGTTAGTAATTTTCACAACTAGTGATATAACTTGGTTAATTTTAACTGGAAATGTTTGAACACATAAAGCTTCTTGATGAACAATACAATGAAAAGATAATAGTTCATGTTTCACATTTTGGCCAAAAAGAGTAACAAATCCTTTATATTTACCAATCATATTTGATGCAAAGAGATATCAGCTTATCTAAATTGATTTCTTTCTCTTTACAAAATTCTGTAATTGCAGCGCAAATGTCCTCTCCTTGAGTTTGGCCTTTGAGTGGTAGAAAACCCAGTAATTCTTCATGAACACCCGTAGACGAAACATATCGTCTCATTAAAGTGAGTTGCGCGATGTTTTTAACGTCGCATGATTCATCACAAGCTAAGGAAAATACAAGTGATGACTGCAGATCGGAAAACTGTTATTCTGTGACGTTTTTAGCCATTAGCTCTATCACGAACAGTAGTTGTCGACAGCGGAATATCTTATTATTATTACTATATATATATATATATATATATATATATAGTGTGTTTCCTTTTAAAGGTAACAATAAATAATTCTGTCCAGTGACATCGGATTAATATGCGGTTTTCAGGAGGGGATAGGGAATACATAAATACACATTTTTTAATGATTTTTACATTTTTAGATCTTTCCGTGTGCGCATGCGCAATACAACTTGCATTTTTTTAAATGGCAACATGTGTTTTGAATACCAAATTCGGATAGACCGAATTTTTTTAAGTCGATTTGGTCCTTTTTACCATAGTTTTAAAATCAAATCTGACTAAATGGCAACCAGTCAAAGTTTCGATTAAAATTATTGAATTTTTCACCAATCATATTTATATTTATATAATCAATCTATATTTGGTATACTTATTTTAATTAAATGTTGTATTAACACTATTGTCACAATATTAAAAAATAACAAATAATCATATGTATATTAAAATAAAATAAAACAAAAAAAAATTGGTTAACAAAAAGTAATTCTTAAATAATAATAATTTAATACAAGATATAAAATAGCAATATAGGTATATATATATGTATAAAAAAAAACAATATTTCTTTGGTGCATACAATGGTAAATATTTACTTTCTGAAGAATAAAAAATAAACTTGAAATATTATTTAAATTTTACTATATGAATTAACAATAATATATTTTACATAATATCTGTACTCATGTTAGTTCTTCTATTGCTTAAAATTTGTTTATAGAGACTAAATGAACATTCAACATCAACAGATATTAGAGGTGCAAACTTCATGTAAACAACTACATTAGGTATAAAATATTCTGGGAGATTTTCATTGTTTCCACATAAAATGTTCCCAACTTTTACTAACATTTGGTAACCTTTATTTTTTTAACATAATTGAGACACTTTAGTATTTTTATTATGTTACTCGTTTCACCAGGTATATTGGTTAGTTTACAGATAACAGTTTGTACAATCTCCAACAATGAAACAAAACTCAAATATTCTAAAAAATGCTAAATGAGCTAAATATTCCCTAACCTATGATAAATTCTCAAATATGCAAAAAAAAAATTTCTATAAGCTCAGAATTGAATGAATCCTCCACATTTTTTAATCTCATACAACTGCATAGACTAAGTAATGATATGTAAAAACATATAAATCGGGTCTTTAATTATCACTTTAATAACGTAGGCATAATAAAATTTATATTTTACGGATCTCGATATATTGATATTTATCCAAAGAGCCGCATGCAGCTCCGGAACCGCAGGTTCCCGACCCCTAAATTATATTGATGTAATTGTTACATTTTAAAAATCAAAAAAATATAATAATTTTTATATTTTAATAATTTTTTTTCTTATAAAACCTTTTTTATATATTTTACTATTATATAACATGTACAATTAATACAAACTATAAATACCTACTACAAAGACTATAATACTATAGTTTATTAATACTTTTATTTTATTAATCTAATTATACTGTCAAATTTGAATAACGCGTAGTTTTATCCATGGCCATTCAAATGGAAGGAGGGTAATGGGACCATTTTGCCCCAGCCCCCATTGTTGAAATATTTTTTAGGGGGCCCCATAAAGTCTTGATGTATAATAATTAATAATAAAGCCTCGATTACATTGAACAATTTTACACACTGCGTGTCGGCGATTAAAGTCAGTGCATTTTTTAAGAAATTTTCACTGGGTGAAAAAAAATGTTTTTCTCAAAATAGTCAATGTATTACCATAGTACGATTACAGTATTACACGTTTTTTCGCTTTATTTTGCCCAATCTTTCAAAATATTGTCGATAGAGAATAATCACTGGGCGACATTTGTGTCGCCTAGTTAACTAGTTAAAAAATGCACTGACTAAAGTTGTGCGCGTGTGAGCGTGTAGCGACTTGTTTGATGACATTGAACAATTAAATTATAAATAATATGAATAATATTCAATTATATTATGTAAGTATGCAGTACATGAATTTAAATGAGCTGGATTGGTTAAGGTTTTGAAAAATACATTTACAAGAATTTTGTTATTCTCAGTGAGTATTTTGTTTATCATATCTTATTATTATGGTCGAAGGGCCCCCAAATTAATTTACCCCTGGCCCCGAAAAACCTTGAGATAGCCCTAGTTTTATCAGACTTGTGGAGAAATGTTATCCAAACGCCCCTCTACAATAAATATGTTCTAATCCAATAACTCACAAATAGAGTTGGGAACAGTTGTCCGAAAAATGATAAGGACCGGAATCAAAAGACTGCGGCATAAAATGTGTTGCCACAATTTATAAATACTGTTGACATTAACAGGGGTGGCCAAATTGCGGCTCGCGAGCCGCATGCGGCCCTCGTCATAGTCGTATGCGGCTCGCGGTCTTATTTACAAAAACCAAAATATTTTAATTTTTTTGTATACATTTATAAAAAAAAAAAATTTATTGCATAAATACGAGGCTATAGTGTACAGATTAATAAACAAAAAAAAAATTTATTTATATGAATAATAAATTAAAAAATTAAACATCAAGTTAAATTTGTTTGCGTGGTATTTTTTTCATGTCCACTTTTTTAGTAAGCTTCTTAAGATCTGGTTAAATTGATATAAGAGTAGTTCTTAGTAATTCTGTGAGATGATCATTAGTGAAATTTTAACAATATTTTGACTTAATTATTTATATATATATATATATGTTTATCAACTGTTAGCTTTCTTAATTACTTTTGTAGTATAGAAGTACCGATTAAATAATTTGACTCTTAATATAATCTTATTAATACATGTGGCTCGTGTACATAGACATGTTGGCCACCCCTGACATTAATAATATTGTTTTTGGTGGAGCGTTGACTTCGAGTGAATTTCGATGTAGTGACTCGTACGCAGTGTTACCAGATTTCACAATGGGTAGGTTAGTGGTAACGTAATCTACGATCGTACGTTATCGTTCTAATCTTGTGATATCAACAGCAGAAATTTATGAGGCAAATTTCGTATTTAAAAAGCTGATAAAAAAATATATAACAAATTCAAGTCCGTTGTTTACAGTTAACGTTTCTTTCAGTATCTTTTTTTTGCATTCCTCCGTCCCGTTATGTTCATCATTATTTGAAATAACTTTGAAACGATGACTTCGGCGCTATATTTAGAACACTATCTGGATAGTAAGTAACCTACTGATATCTTGGGTCATATTAAAATACTTAATATTCTTGTTATGGTTAGGTTTAGAGAATCTTCCCGTAGAATTACAACGGAACTTTACCTTGATGCGAGATCTGGATTCAAGAGCTCAGGAGCTAATGCGCAGCATCGATAAACTGGCCGATGATTATTTGTCCAATGTCAAAGGTTATTCAGTAGAAAAAAAAAATGAAACCATGACAAGCATTCAACGTCAGTTTGACAAAGCAAAAGAGTATGGCGATGATAAAGTTCAATTGGCTATACAAACATATGAACTGGTAATTTAATATTAAACAACAAAAATAATTCTAGAACTTTTTCACATAATTTTCTTGTAAACGTTCAGGTCGATAAACATATTAGAAAATTAGATTCGGATTTAGCACGATTTGAAGCAGAAATTCAAGATAAAGCCATCAATGCTACAAGGAATGTTGAAGAAAATTCACAAAAACGTAGGTTCCTTTTTTGTTTTTATGATTAAATAATTATTAAAGTATTTGTTTTTAGGAGGACGTAAAAAAACTAAAGATAAAGAAACTAAAAAGAAAAGTGCATCAAGTGAAGAGGAGACCATTACTAAAACATCTAAAAAGAAACAATTAAAAAAAGGTATGTGGTTATATTTTATTTCATTTAAATTAAATTTAAATAGTTTAATAATTAATATTACACAATTGTTGTTTACTAAAATTGTTTAGGAGGTGCTAAAACAACAAATACTGCACCTACAAAAACTCCGTCTGTGAATGTAGTCGCCAATCCGACAAATCCTACCAATAGCGTAGCCAGTGTTGCGGTAGAGGCTGGTTCGCTCACTGGTGCATTAGTTGGTGCTGGAGTTGCACACTCGGCTGAAGTATTAGACATGCCAGTTGACCCAAATGAACCTACATATTGTTTATGTAACCAAGTTTCCTATGGTGAAATGATAGGATGTGATAATCAGGATGTAAGTATTTTCATATTAATTACAATAAATTTATTTTAATTTTCATAAAATATTAATTTAGTAAGATTCTGACAAATTGATTAAAATATGATTATATTACAAATGGTTTAGTTCATTGTCACTTCTTTATTATTAAGGTCTTGAGATTCATTTAAATCTTATTTTGTGTTTATCATTATTATTTTAGTGTCCTATTGAATGGTTCCATTTTGCATGTGTCAAATTAACAACAAAGCCCAAAGGAAAATGGTACTGTCCGAAATGTATTACAGACAGGAAGAAAAAATAACACTGTATTGAAAATAATCACATTTTTATATGTATGCATGTACAAATATTATTAAGTAATTATCTTCAAATAACAATAGTTATATTTGTAATTGAATTACCTACAAACATTTTTTTTTCATTTTTTAATAAAATAAAAGATTATCTTTTTATAAAAAAAAGATGGTTATATTTTTTTATTTCATAAAACAGATAACTAAACAACACTTTATTACTGTAAAGATATAAAATAAATCATTTGAAATGAATCATATTTATTACCTAACACCAGTCTTTTTTTATATTAAAAAATGTCCTATGGAAGTAACGAGGAATTTTTCATACAACATTTAGATGGCATAACTTTCCAGTCATACTCATATGAACTTATATCTTTGTATTCTTTGTTGCACATCTTTCCTGTTTGAATAATACGTGACCAATACAGTTTCATCACTTGTGGACTGCGTTTGTGTGTTACCAAATGATTGTTAAGACAACCACGACTACGATATTCAGTATCAAATCTTCTGTCATGTTTTCTTGTTATATTTAACGGAGCTAACCAAACACCAACAGATACATCTTCACTGATAAACAAGCTAAAAAAAATAATCGTCTTAAAAAAATTGAATAAGGTCATGTTTTTTCACAACATAATATCTATAATAAAAATTATTAAATTTCTCACCTTAAGTAATCTTGATTATTAACTATATACATGACAAGGTCCTTAGATAAAACATAGCCACCTCCTAAGGCATATGGTAAATATTTGTCGCATAATATCCAATCCGTTTCTTTCCATTTTCCAGCTCTTTTAATATGAGCATTACCATCAAAGTATCCCCAGTAAAATTTATTTTTTGGAGCAAAATTTAGTTCATTGATAATTTTGGGAATGTCAACAAAACTGTCATCGTCACATTTTAACAAATATTCAAAGTTTAAGCTACGCACATTGTCAAATGCTTTCAATAATTTAAGACTAAGTAATCTGTATTCGTCAGTCACATCTACCTCTAATATGTCATTATGTACCAGTTTTTCTGCATTCAAAAATTTGTCCTGTGAGGAGACAAATCGCACTTCGACATCATCTTTTGCTTGAGCCCATGTTTCTCTAATGGCATCTCGACGATTTTGATTTTTCACTGCCGATATGACAAGCACAAGTAACTTAAACCTAGGCTCTTTCGGCAAAGTGATTGACTTGAATGTTGTTGTATGCAAAAAGAAAAGAGTCAACGTACATCCCAGTATGAATGACAAATTTGCCAGAAAAAAATATATCAAACGTTTTTGATTCAAAAACATTAGTTACATGATTCATTAAAATATTAATTTAAAAAAAATTCATTACAATAACATGAAAGTATTGTAATTTATTGTAATAAAAATCGGTAATTATTTTGTTAAAAATATATTCATGTTCTGAAACATGATTTTCATATTAAATACACTGCTATTTAACATTACGAAAATAATATAAGAAATATAATGTCGAAATGCAAATTTTTAAATTAACCTAGGAATCACGAAATGAGATATGTACATTGCTTATCAGTTATCAATTCGATATAACTATATATATATATATATATGTATATAACTTGTGATTAATCAGTAATCATTACTATAATATCACAAATTGCATAGATATCTGTAGTAAAATCACAGAACTGATTTAATCTTTTCTGTAGTAATAATATTGAATAGATTAAATTTAATTTTTTCATAGACATAATATATTATGTCCATGAACATTGGAGTACCTACTCTAATGTTCATGATTATGTCAATGATTTTCTATTCTATTCTGGGGTAATATCACAAATCACAATAGATTAGTGTTGCAAGGACATAATTGTATGAAGGAAAATAGTCCAAATATTTTTTCTTGATGATGTTGGATGGAGCTTGATTTCAATTCACAGATAATAGGAAATTCTTCTATTATCTATGCATAAATTACAAATTAACTTTTTTATCACACCAACATTACTAAATTATTTCTAAGTCCTTTAGTTCATTCAAAATAAATATTTTATTTTTCTTTAATGTAAACATTCAAAAAATAAATTTACACAAAAAATATATTTAGTGCAGTTACATTGTTGATCAAAAATTTAACAAACAGTTCTTAACATTTTCTAATGAGACTAAGATTCTTTGTAGTAATTTTTAAAAAACTATATGTTCTGTTGATATTTATCATGTTAGATATTCTAATTTAAATTAAACTAACATGTTTACTTCATCAATTATATATTCCTATTACTTACTGTGTATTTTATTTATATGTTAAGGATTTCAGCATTTTGAAAATATCAAAAATTCTGTGTATTGTTAAAATAAGTAAAATAATTAAAGATTAAAGGAAAACTAATATATGAATAAAAACAAAAATTTACAAAACAACAAACTTTAAGTAATTGTAATTAAAGATTAAAATATAAAATAATTATAATGAATATAATTTCTATTAAATGTAAACAAGGTTAAATACATTTTTATGTAAATATCAAAACAGGTAGGTATTCAATTATCTTCGATATTACTCATAGATGAAATAAAACAGACTGGTCTAATTAAACAACTAATTATTGCATAATTTAATAAATTTGTTTAATGAATTATAAAAACAGAATTTACGCATTTAACGTTTACATAGCGTCTAAATGTTAATATTTGAATCATGCATTTTACATGTAAGCACACAACAGATCACAGAACATATTATTAGATGAACAAAATAAATAAAATAATGAAATTCAAATTTTGGAATGATTATACATATATATATATATAACAGAAGAGAACGGAAAAGAAATAAAATATGCATTGTTTAAAGTGGTTTCTCAGAAGCCATGAAGTTCAATGCATTTGGATGCACCTTTAAGTAGATGAACAGTGTGATGAGTGCGAATATGACAGTCAGAGTGGGTAAGACAACTGAAACGACATTTTTTTTGTTCTCCAAAAATTCCCTCTTCCTTTCCTTCTTCTGCTTGCTGGTCTCCTTTGGTTTATTTGTACGAGAGTTCCTCATAATTGTTGTTTTCTTGAGATACTGCGAACAAGAGCACAATACTACACAATTGTTAATAAAGTATGCATTCGTAAACAATGATCGATGTAACTAATTGGTTCTGAAAAAAATGTCCCAAATAATATATTGCACAAAATATGTCAGTTCTCCAGTGCAAATGGATAGGTTTATAGTCAATGCAAAATAACTTACATGAAATCGAGAACACGAGTACAAAAATAATATCCGTTGTTCTTGAGACGAACGACAGATAACAAATATCCGTGGTACGATAATTAACTCTGGAATAATTAGCTGCTGTTGTTTTCAATTTGCCACGAAAACAAAAACTACAACGCAAAGCGTCACTTTTATTTGTTTACGTCAACGATAACAATAAACAAATCATCACCGGGACCGGAGCGCTGGTGATGGTTCATAACCACTAACTGTGTCTACTGCTATTATCAGTAACCAGGTCGCAATTATTACCAAATACCAAAAATACCAAAAATCGTATTTGCTACCACAGAATCACAGTGTAATGAAGAATCTTCCTTATACACAATACTATGAAAAATTTCGATAGCAAAGAACATTCGAATCGTTTAATGACGGATAGATTCAGATCACAAAATAAATTATTTGGTAAACGGTTTGACGGGTTGAATATTTAGCTTTTTTAAAAGGAGGGACTAATAGAAAAATAATATAAGTAATATCATTGATTATAGATAGTAATATATAATATATAATATCCATAATCAATGGTAATATAGAAACACAGAATAAATGAAATCAGAATGGTCAATGATAAGATTTTACATAGGGAACATAAGGGACTTCAAAAATCATCGGGCCATTGTTTTGGAGTTCCAACAGCGTGACCACCTAACACATAGACTGATAATTTACTTAATTACAGCTGCTCTTGTATTGTAGCATTTACATAAAATTATTGAAAATTAATTTTATATTTCAATTCAATATTAAAATTCATTAAATATATGCCAGTTTGCCACTAGTAATATTGTAAAACGGAATAATTTAAATTTATTCTGTGATAGAACTATGCCAATAGTAATTTTCATTGAATTTTTACAGCAAACTTCACTCCTTCCATTGTATTGTAAATAAATAAATAATTTTTTTTGATGTACAATAAATACGAAATTTTTTTATTTAGAAATTAACAAGGTTTAATACACAATATTTATTGAGTCAATACAATGAACTATGAAACACATGCATGTCAATGTTTTCTAAACAATTACAGAATAAATGTTATCACTTTTAATATGAAGAAATTAGTACTCCAAAAATATGGTGGCTGAATTTTGCTTATATTTAGAAGTAACCATTCTGATTTCATTTATTCTGTGATAAAAAGTACAATAAAGACTTGACCTTAATATGAATAGTTTAATATCCCATGGGTAGAGGATAAATACTTTAATTAGAAAACTGCAGTACCTATAGTCCTATCCAACTTCTATTGAGTAAAAAACTAAGAGTTACATTTTTAGTGTACAAACAAAAATTTTAACTAGAAGCTGTCTCAATCTATAGAAAAATCACATTAAATAAAAAACGATAAAAATATAAGTATAATTCGACAACAAAAAAAAAAAAATAAGTAATTTTAATATAAAACAAATTTGATAAAAAGTGGTTAGTTTCCAGATGATAAAGTAAAAAATGGACTGAATTCCGAAATCTGAAACAAGAGCTTTTTAGCGAAGGATGAAAAAGGAAAGGTATTGAGTAGAAATATTCAGTGGTGAAAAACAAAAGATATTACAGATATCAGATATAATATAATTATGTCTGATGAGAAAAATACGTTTTGTTAATTTTAGTTTTAGTTACTTTAGTTTTTAAAAGCTTAGTAAAAAGCACATACGTCAGTATAGGTAGTTATTTTGAATATGTTTTAGTTAAGTTGTAAATAGTACCTTTAAATAAAAAATAACTAAATAACAGACAAATTTAGCTGTAATAAATATCCCGAAATCAGAAATTCAATGAGGGCCAGCGAGAGGGTAGGTCAGGGTCCTGGGTATCAGGTAATTGGTCAAAATATCCAAGGAGAAAATATTCAAATTTATTCATTTTTCCAAAAATTAGTATCAAATTATTTATGTGACTTGTTAATAGCAATAATATCACAGTTATTATCGATTATGACCGTTATGGGTATTGTTAAACTGAGATATCATTCCGTTTTGACTTCTAGTTTTACTGTTGGGTTTGATAAATTGCCCAGTAGCAGTAAATTGAACGAATATTTAAACGGTAATAAGTCGCAAACGGATAACTGAAATTAAATTCTGTAAATGTCAAAATAATTTTTTTCAGTATGTTTATAAATTTTCGCTATCGAAAATAAGTATTGCCATTTGAAAATCGAAAAATGATAGTGTTTTATCAAATAAGGGAGGAAGTTAAAATTATCAAAATTGTAACACAGTGTAAAATAGTAAAACCTAGAAAGTTTAAAAAAAAATTATTTTAAAATTCCTAATCCTTCCCGAGATATTAACTGGTTCACGATAAAAAAAATCACCCTGTATTTTGTGATATTATAACGATTAACGTAATTTATTATACTTTTAGTAATTTACAGTTGAATTAATTTTATTAACTAGTTTTTATAATTTAATATTTTCAGAAAATTTAAGTTTTTTTATGATTAAATAATTTGATATTTGAGCTAGTTGTATTAAAATGTATAGTGTAATGTACTAATTTTCGGAAAAACGGATAAATTTGTATATTTTGTCCGTGGATATTTTGATCGTTGGATATTATGTCCGTGGATATTTTGTCCTTGGATATTTTGACCTAGATTTGGGTATCAAGCCTTCAGAAAACATTAATTTTCAAAGGGAGCGCTTTGTAGCAAGGGCGTACCCGATGGGGGGAGGTTTGGGTCCGGACCCCACCATGGAAATGTCTACATATTCAACGGTTTAATGGTAAATAGTATAATAATAGTATTTAGGAGTATTTTAATTTTCCATTATCTTCAATATACAAAGTATATAGATTATATAATATACCTATCAGTGGCGTAAATTGGATCCAATTTCCGGTGGTGCAGAGGCATATTCTCAACTTATAATTTCCAACATACCAATTTTTCAATTTCCTAAGTAAAACTCTTCCCAATAAACTATATATTTCTTTAAATAATGAATAAATTTTAAATTATTTTAGCATTAAAACCTTTATTATTATAATATTAATAAAAAAAACAATCAAATTTTCTTTTTAGTATGCTGATTTCCTTGGCTCTTTAAAATAATATTATAGGTATACAAATTTCAATGATTTTCTAGTGGAGCAAAAACATATCTTTGCACTACCACATTTTAGATGTGATGTTGCAAATGCCACATTTGCACCACTCAGTTTACGCCACTAATACCTATAATGTATAAACTATACTATTATGTATGTAGTAATTTTTTGGTATTGAGTTAAACCATAATTATAATTAGAGAACAGATAAAATAAAAATTTTGGGACCCCCCCCCATAAAAAATTCCCGGGTACGCTCCTGCTTTGTAGACTTGGCTTAAATAAATGTTTGAAATCATAAGTCCAGCACTGTAAAATAAGGCTGTTCCTATATATCCATATCATCATCAGTTTAGAAAGAAAAGTGAAAAGGTAAGAATACGAGAACGGCATTCCGCGTTCATACACAATCAGAGTTAGACTAAATAAATGTGGTCATAATTCTTAATATAAATTAATATTTTCCGTAATACAATTTTAAAGTTGCGACTCAACAAACCATTTTTACACAAAACAAATTTGAAGTAAACATTAAATCATTGAAATAATAATAAAGATGTATTGACATATTAAACTGGCATTGTATTCACAATAGGTGAACTTTAGAATAATGTAGGTAAATATTATGAATTTTAAGCACATTTTAAGGACCAATGTTAAATACTGGAATCGTGTGATAAGAAGAAACATTGATATCAAAATAGTAAATAATTACTTGTTCTCAATATTTGGAAAAAAATCAGTCATTCGTAATGTTTTGATTATATTTATAGTAAAAACTTGTATTAATGAAAATATTCAATGTAAAATTAAGTGAGGAGAAGGTGTACTAAAAACCAGTTTCCTTTTCCACGGTATGGGATTCCGATTTCTGAATGGATACTTTTAATTGGTAAATGTAACATTATTTTCTCGAATTATTACTATACAAATTGTTATATATAAATAATTATTTAAAACATTTAATAATTTGTAGGTATCAGGAGAGATCTTCTACATTACAACAAATTAAACCTCTAGGTTCATGTGACCTTTCAAACTTACAATTGAGGTTCTTATGCCCACAAGATATAAATGAGGTATCTAAATATTATTTAATATATTTTATAAGTTTGGTTTTATTTTTTATTGCAACAGTTGAAATATCACAACATAGAATTTTTTTATTTATTTATATATTTGTAATTGTCATAGCTAATAAACTAATAGTAAAATCATTTTTGATTTTAAAATAAGACCGATTATTTTGGAATAGTAATAGTAATAAGTACACCTATAAAAGTTCATGAATTTTTAAAGTTTTTAGTGTTTAAAATATCTAAGCTTTTTCCAATTTCTGCCAAGGGCGGAACTATCTATCTATTCTAAGACCATCACCTAATATTTAAAGTTAATTTTAGTTGATAGTTAATTCTAGTTTTAAAATGATGTTATAATTAGTGCCATTATTACACCAACTTGGGCTTGTGTGTAATAAAATAAATGCCCTCCCCGTGTCTGGACTCTGCAAGTACCTTTAGTCAATTGCAATCAAACTTTTATGAATTTCAATTATACAGGCTGCAAAAGAAACATTGATGTACGATAATGTGTACAAAACAAAATTGATAAATTATCTACATTTAATAATTATTATTACAAAATGGTTTTATTTTCTTGCTTTCTACATATTTTTCAAATATTATTATTGAACCCTATTATAGCCTGGGGCCATGGATCTGTGTGTTTGATACACAAAACACACCCGGTCCGATCATTGTGGCACTGGTTATATGTTTATTTTGTTGTATTTAAGAAAGTGAATTTTGTTATAACTGAGAATTTTTATAGTTTTTATTATTAATGTTATATATCATACATTTTATATATGTAGAGATTGTTTTGTTAATAGAGATTTCCCATAAATAATAATATAATATTAAAACCTAGATTTCCTTCCCTTGTTGATATTCCAATGTTTGTATAATATATTTACATTTCACATATATTTAATGAGTTTCTAACAATAAAATATTTAATAATTACCAGGATGCTATGTATAAAATTTGTACAAATAAGGTTTTTTTTTTATTTGAACCAGGTATAAAATCTTAAATACATATTGAATATAGTCAAAATCATGAGTAAATATATTTTTTTTTATGTGTAAAATAAAAGGCCATGAAGAAGATGTATTCTATTATATCTATGAAATCAATGTAGGTATGTTTTATAATATAAAGAAAAATTTTAAATTAATTTAATTAAAATGTTAATTTTAATAAAAATTTTAAAATTAAAATTATAAACTACATTCAATATTTTTATGGCACTCATCAATTTATGTTACATTTGGCTGTGTTTTATCATTTTATCATTTTTAAAAATAAATTTTGATAAGTTTTTAACTATGTTTGAAACATAAAAGAAGTATATTCATGCAATTATTTTATCATCATTTTTACATTTTATATAATTTTTATCGATTTATTTATCAATAAAAATTCAAAAATCTTTGATAATTTCTTTATTAAAATTATATAAAATTTATAACAGGTGAATGCTTTGTGTGTGGATTGTTTTCCTGTTGAATATCCAAGATCATGGTATGAAGACATTACATCAAATCCAAAATTTTATTCTTTAGCAGCTGTACATAAATCAGTTATTGTTGGGATCATAGTAGCTGAAATAAAACTGTATATAAAATTGTCTCCAAAGGTAAAATTATTATTTACTACTTAACTTGAGAATTTTGTTTCAATTTAATTATTATTAAATCTATTTAATAAAATATTTATGTATTCTAGAGCTTCTTATTACACTTTCAAACTATATTATATTTCAATTTGATGATAAGTTAATAAATTCTTATACTAATTTTGAGCCATAATATTGGTCGTACATAATGGAAATTTACTGTGGTTAGTATATTAAATGGAGATAATCAGTGGCATGGTGAACAACATTTTCTTAATGCAATAGCTTAGCTCTAGAAATCTATCAAAGGGCTGGATATTCCATGGCTTATGTATTTATGAAAATATTTTATTCAAATTATTGAATTAATTAGCTAATTGCTTGCATTGAAAAATAATATGTTTATAGGTTAGGTATTTGAAAGGAATTAAGGAAAATCCTTTAGGTAGTACAATTGAATAGTTATATACATATATATTATGTAGTAAGGGGAGAAGTGAGTCATTGTTGAAATACTTTGTCTAGGGTTTGAAATATGCTTGCCATGCCACTGGAGATAATTCAAATAAATTCGTCCTTCCTTTTAACATATTTGTTCTTATATTAGAAAACTCATATGCGTATGTATTCAATACTAACTAATTTATCTATGCAATTGCTAAAAGTGATTATTGTGTATAAATAAATATTGAATTTATTGAAATTAAAAAAAGAAAGAAACTTAATATTTTTTAACCAACTGATTTGTGAATGATTTTTGCTGTATAGGAAAGAGAAGTTGTTTCTCCATCTGCTGGGAAATTTACTCAAGTAGGATATATTTTGAGTTTAGGAGTCATTAAAGCATATAGGCGAAATGGCATTGCATCATTACTGTTAAATAATCTTGTATCACATTTAACATCAGCAGAATCTCAAAACTGTAAGGCAATTTTTTTGCATGTACTTTCTAGCAATTCATCAGCAATATCTTTCTATGAAAGAAAACATTTCAGGTAAAAATAACTAGCTTTTATTTAATGTATCATTATTATTGTGTGTACTCTTTTTTTAAATATACCTCTTAATTAATTTTAGATTACATTCATTTCATCCATACTATTACATGATTAATGGAATTAACAAAGATGGTTTTGCGTATGTACTCTATATAAATGGCGGACATCAACAATGGATGATCTTATATCCTTTTAAACAAAAAATATTATCTAAGTATTTATACAATATAAGTAACATTGATATTTTATTAACATTTTTTTAACATAATTAGCATTTTACTTTAAAATATTTTAAATTTATTAGTAAATCAAAGAAACTATATATTTTAGGATCTATATATTTATTACTCTGAATTAAAATGCCGGAATCTATTATTAGTGAATTAATCATTATTTATAATCCATTTCTACAATAAAATAAATACAATATATTTCTACTTACCATCTAAAACTTAATTAGAAAATTTTAACAATATTATGCACAAAGAAGATAATTAGGAATAATTTATATTTTTAAACTAAATTGAAGTTGTGTAATGAAATAATTTATAGCGTACATAAAAATATTAAAACTTCTTTCATTTTAAAATATACTCAGTGATTTTAAACATAGTGATTCAAGATATTCATAGATATATTAAATTATTTCAATACATTTATATTATTTATTATAAGTTTTTTCTACAATTACTATAAATAAAAATTTAATATAGATATCTTTATTTATCAAGTATAAAAATTCATGATATTATTACTTTTTATCATGGATACAAAAATAATGCAGTCACCAAAATAGATTTAAAAAGTAAATAATAAAAAGTTTAATAATTTCAGTTTTAGATTGATTAATTTTATTAATTTTACAGTTAATATTTAAAATGATTATTTTCTTTAACTTATGTAATTACTGATATTTTAAAGTATATTTACACTACAGTTTGCGAATTTGGTGTTGTTAGATGGACAATAAACAAAGCTCGAAAAGCAACTAGACGTTTTTGGCCAAGAATTAGACGGATCGCTTCTCAGAATACCAGTACTATTATGATTGACTGTAGCTGAGATATTTTAATTTTAATTGAATATATCAAATTTTTCTGCCATTAAATTTATATTTAGTATATATTTATATATTTAAGATAAATCTATTTTAATCACATTGCTGTCTTCTTATTTTTATTATTATGTATCAGTGGAAATTTGATTTAAAAGAATTTTTCAATTTTCATAAATTAAATTTCGCCTATGTATTGTGGATATTATTTTGTTCATTGACTGCTAAACAGACATTGAACACAATATTTTATACTTCATTTATCTTTTTTTTTTTTTTTCGAAATTATGGCAATCTATTTTTTGATACATTAATAATAAAATTAAAATTAAGTGTGCCTATAAAATTGAAGTAAATTATATTAAATTTATTAACTATACTTGTGTCAAAACTATTAATAACCATACTAAAAATTTTATAAAATTATTTTCTTCATTTTCTATTCTGTACATTTTTAATATTAATAGAGTAATAATAGTTATTACTCATGTTCTCCATTTTTATTTAGTGATTTATGAATTATTATTTTTTGTAATTCTTGAAAAAGAACAAGTAGTTCCTTTTTTTTTAAATTTCTAGTCACTTCATTATGACGCCTAAGATGCAAAACAAATGTACCTTTATTTTATTTTTACCGACAATAATATTTTTCAGTTGTTATACTAATTATTCTTAAAAACGAATGATTAAAATGAACATGATTTTTAATTATGATATATTTATTTTTTAGTTATAATTTAATAACCATTGCTATTTATATATGTATTCGTTTTTTTTTTTATGTTTTAATTCTATTGTTATTATTTTTCTTTGTAGTTTAAAATAAATACATTCTGTTTTGTTACAATATTGGAACAAAGATTAAAATCTATTTTTACATACCTAATACTTATTTTACTGTTTTTTGTTAATTATATTAATAAACTTCTATTTCATTTAAACTATTTTAATTTTATTCAAAAATTAAACAAAACTATGTTAGCTATAAATAAAAAAATGTTTAATGAGATAAAGTTAAAAGTATAAGAAATTAAAAACTATTTGAGAATCATCAATAATAGAAATTATTACTAATTACTAATTTTATTCAACAGTGGTCATCATTGGTCTTTGACTAAAAATATTTATATATGTATAACAGCGCATAGATATAGAATAAAAAAGGTTGGAAAATACTGAGTTACAAAGTAATAGTTGTCTTTTTAATGTTAATTATTTTTAATTTTATACATATATACTTTTATTTTATTTTATTTATAGCTACTATTATTAAACTATGATAGGTCAACAATTACAAAAGGTAAAACAAGATAATTAATTACATTGTATTATAAAACCAGTATCCAATATAAAAGAAATAACAATTTTAATAGCAGTAGTGGATCTTGTATTGAGTAGAGATTGAAGAAAATATTGAGAGCATTAAGTTAATTAAAATTAGTCATTTAGCCTGAAGATCAGGACAGTGAAATAAAATTTGGGAAAAGTCAGATTATTCATTTAAATGGAGAATCAATTAGGCCAAGATTGAATGAGTGGCTGGGTAGTAGATGATGTTCCATGCTTAACCAATTAAATTATACTATATCTATGCAAGTGTAAATTATTGAACCAAGTTTTTTTAAGGAGAATGTGTAATGTGTAATGTTTCTATATCTTGAAGCTTAGTCCGCAGGTAAGTTATTCCAAACAGGTTGGAGGTGTATTGTTTAATATAAGGGGTGAAATTAGACTGCGATAGATGAGTAAAAGAAGAAAAAAAGATTAAATATAGATTTGGCCAAGTTGTGTGTAACCTAATTATCGTGAATCCCAATATGACTGGGACTGATCTATTTAATTTATAATGTCATGATATTTTAGTTGATAGGTAGTTTAAGTCCTAAAGCCAAATTTAAATTGTGTTCAGATATTCAAATTGTAGTTGTGGTTGATCCTTGTTAGATTACACATAAAATTATTTTTTTAAAGCTGTTGATTACACTTAATTCCTGTTACAAATTAATTTTCCATAAATTCTATCCGGCTTCAAATAATTATTCATAAGATTCCAATATCTAGTTTATAAAAATATTTTATACATATACAACAATTATATAAAACCAAAACACACATGTAAAAAATTAAACTACATATTTATTTTATATTAAAATGCTTAACAATCACTAAATACATAAATAATAAAAAAATTGACCAATGAACCATATAATAAAATAATGTATTTAATATATTATTAGACTTCATAGATTTCTATATAATCTTTTACAGTTGAGAGTTCTAATTAATTTACAGATGGTTATAAAAATACCAAAATAATTTTTCCCATTGTTTTATAATATAAATTAATTTCTTCTAATATTATTCTATACTCTTTTATAGATATTTTCATGTTTAAATATTTTTTTAATAGAGTTACAAAAAAAATATTTATACTAATTTTTTCAGTTAAATATATAACTTAACAGTGTTTGTAATCGGTTATATAAAATTTTTAATACATCTACTTGTTTAATAATAACACTAAAATAAATGCATCTTAAGTTCAAACTTAACTACATACAATTTACAACGGAGATACTTCTTTTAACCATTTCAAAATTTCTGGAGTATAATATGTTATAATCACATCACCTCCTAAAGAATAAAATAATTTTAATTGTTTAAAATAAATAAATAATAAATATCAATTAAACATACCTGCTCGTCGCATACTCCTTAAAATTTCAAGTAAACCCTCTTTTAATGTCACTACACCTGCTTGCACAGCATGATATAACATTGCATATTCTCCAGATACCTTAAAATAAAACCCAAAAGTTTATACATTTATTTATTTATTGTAAATAGGATATTACACTTTGATAAGTAATAGTACAGTAAAATCTTAATTTAATTATAATTTATTTATTTATATATATATTCAATGGTGGTTTTTAGAATATTTTTCTGGGGGTGGATACTTTGATATTATCTTATATTATATAAAGACACAACGATAATTAATTCATTAATAATTTATTACTTAAAATTTAATTCTTATATAAACAAAAAAAAACACAATGTATCATTATAAACCAGAGTTCCGAGTGATTAATATAAATAGCTTAAACTTGGCACCTGGAGGAGGTCCAGACCCCCTTACTGTAAAAATCACCACTACATATGTGTATATATAAATACATACTTTATATATATTAAAAAATGAAATATAATTTACCTGATAAATAAATAAGGGAATGTTTGGATGTTTATCTTTAATTTTTCTTACTATATCCAAGTACATTATTCCCGGTTTAACCATTGTCATATCACAAGATTCAGAAACATCTCTATCCTAAAATTATATAATGATAGTAATAATTATTTTTTTTTATTAATTTAAACAACACATTGGTGACAACGACCATTATTGTTGTAGTTATATTAATTACAATTATTTATTTAATGTATATTCTTAATTGTAATATTTTAAATTAATTCAAAAAATTTAATTTTCTTAAAAAAGGTAAAATTTGGTAGATGATCAGCGTTCAGACTGTTGCATCTAGAGTATTGGGGATGCTGAATTTGTCGAGCACCTCTGTGTACTGGAGGCAATTTGTAAAGATATGGTTGACTGATAGTTCGGAAACGCAGGTGGTGCACACAGGTTTTATATCTTTTACCATAAGGTATCCATGTGTTAGTTGAGTGTGACCGATCTGGAGTCTGTTTAATGTTACTCTTTCTCTTCTTTTCATGAGAGGGTTTGGTCAGCTGAAGATGGAATTTTTAACTTTTCTGAATTTGGTGTTTTGTTCGAGGCACTGTGTTTGCCATTTGATTTTAATCAGATATTAAATTTGATTTTTTATGTATGCAAAAGTAGTGGTATTTAATATGGGAATATCTGTGTATTCTACTGCTTTCTTAGCTTCTCTATCTTCCTGTTCATTACCTTCTATGTCACTGTACCCCAGAACCCAGATTAGTGATATTATAATTTCTATTTTACTTGCTTGTTTTATTTTTTTAGGAATAAGTTTTGCTATATCTTTGGTGTTATAGGTATTTTTGAGGCTCATGAGTGTGGAAAGTTGTTTTTAATTTACTACTAGAAAATATGAACATTTCGAGGAGATATATAAAATAACTATTTTGTAAATTAACAAATACATAATTTAGTAAATACAAAAACTATAAGAAATTTAAAATATTCAACATATGAATAGTATTAATTGAAAAATAATTAATAGATATATACATGTAAAATAATTACAAATAATATTCTAAATCACTACTCTTAATAAATTATTACTAATAACATTTAAATAGATAAATTTTTATTTAATAAATATTATATATATTGCAATGTTTAAAAATATAAATTAATTATAATATGCCTTCTCATAATCAAATCAAACATAATATATATACATAGATAAAATGTTTTTATGTCCAAATTTGTGATTCTTACCACAACTCTCTCTGCAATACTTGAACTTCCCACTGGAATCTGATATGATGAACGATTACTAAAACTTGGAGCACAATTTGCAGCATCTCTGAATGGCCCATAAAAAACTGAACAAAATTTTGCAGAATATGATAGAACACTTACCCTACTCAACAAGTTTCCTTTCATTAAACTTTGTTTAATAGCTGTTACATGTCCATCCATCATACAAGATGGAGCAACAATATCAGCCCCTACAAAAATAATTTATAATTATAAAACATAATTTTTTATGCTTAAAAATGTACAATTTGTTCTAATATTTGAATATAATTTCGAAGTAGAATATTGTATAATGTATTTAATAATACACAATATGTACACCTATACTTAAAAGATGAATCAGATTATAATAAATTATTTTCTAAGGTTAAACATTTTGATTGTAAGTTATCAAAAAATGAATAAATAATAACATAATATCTACTATACATTAATTATTTACAATATTTAATATTATAAATAAAAATCAAAAAAATCTATATTTAATAAATAAAAATAATTTATTCTGTACACTATACTTTTATACAGGGTAAATGACTTATTTATTAAATTGTACCAAAAAATTATTATTTACCAGCAAGAGCATAAGATAATGCTATTTCTCCTAATCTGTTAATACTTTTTCCATTGTCTATTAATTGATTTTCAATGATCCCACAATGTCCATCAGATGTATATGGACATAAACATACCTAAAAATGATTAATTGAGATTAAGCTATTATTTTCAAATATGAATAAAAACCATGTCATACTAATCCTTAAAACCATAACTATATTAAATTTAACTCAAATTTGTTTGTTTCATAGATAAGAGCAATTTTATGAATTAAGTAAATAATCATAATAAATAATAAAAATATTAATTAATCAAAATGTTATGCTATAGCATTGTCCACAATATTGTAGACAGTCCTCATACTTTAAATAATTGTAATAGCAAAGTATTTAGTTTGGTGTTACTTATTAAATATTTATCCAATTTTTGAGAAACTAAAAATTGTTTATTTATTAAATTTGCTTTAAAATGTAGGAATATTCAAATAATAAAGTAAATAATTAATAATAATAAATAAAGGACTTTTTTTATACTTAATACTATTTCAAAATATAAAATTAATTACTTACATCACAGGCTATTGTTAGTTCAGGGTACCAATTTTTTAATAATGGTAAAGCTTGAATAACAGGATTTTCAAGAGAATCAGCATGTGTTCCATATTGATCCTTATAAAGTTAATAATATTTAAGTAAACTTATTAAATTAGTTATTATTATATTACTTTAGGTAACTTATTAATAACGCCAAAAATTAAAAGAGATTTTAGTCCAGATTCGACAACTGGATCTAACATTGATTTAACATGATTCAAACCTTGTCGATAAACACCAGGCATAGATGTAATTTCTTCTTTGACATCTGGTTCATCTCTAATTAACAAATCGTTGAAATTAATTCACACTAACCAATATAAACTTAAATTTATAATATAAGTATTTACAAAATGAATATTGGATACATTAAATTTAAAGATGTAATGTGAGTGTTTTGACACTGCCATTGTCTAAGAGTATCATTAAAATATCCACTTTGAATTACTCTGTTTATATTGCTCATATTTATGTAGAAAGAAACCTGTGTTGATAAGTAAAAAGAAAAAAAATTCTTATTAAATCCATACACAAATATTTGCTTATATATAAAAACAATATCAATTGCCTAGACTATAGACAGTTAAAGGACTATAAATTAGTGACTATATACTTGCAAAATCAATGCTATTATATAAATTATTTTAATTTTGGATGTCATTACCTATGGCATAAATCCTATGCAATTGTTGTCTATTGTACTTTTTTATATAACTATCCGTCGATTATCGCGTGTACAAATTTTTAAAAATTAAGGTTGGCAGAATATAATAATAAAATTTATTCGAATTTCGATCGACGTGCTAACTCCTGAATTTAATGTTTACAATAAAAAAATAACCTTACAATAAACAGCCATCGGTACATAGAACAATAATACTTGATAATAAATAAATAAATAAATAAATAATAATGATAATGCCTTAATAATGCTTTGGTATCACTCAGTTATTCGATGATAATAATAGTCATTCAAAATAAGAAAAAAAGCAGTGTGTCCATTTATAATTATCCAGTTATAGTTTTTCTTTGCGCGAACATCTGAGTCAGTATCGTATGCGCAGATTGCAAAGTGTCACAAGTGTTTTGACAGCTGCTGCTGCTGTTGCTGGTGGCTTGTTGGTGGACTAGGTCCTTGCTCTTTTTCCTTTTTAGTCAGTTGGGTTCTGTACTTCAGTTATTACGTGTTGCCCGTCAGTGGCTTCCAAAAAGTTCAGTGTCATACTTTCTTCGTTACGTATTGTGTATAGTATGCGAAGTTTTTTCAATTTTTCATTAACACGACACACTCTTTTTTTTTATAAACATATATTAAAAAATAAATATTATAAAACATTATCAAAATGAACCGACCAAATTATAATCAGAACTACAAATTGGTAGTCGTCGGAGGCGGTGGTGTTGGAAAGTCGGCGATTACCATACAATTCATTCAGGTACTTATTGTTGTTTGTAATAAATTGAATATTTAGTAATAATAACTTGAATCTTCGATTGAAAACTGCCGAATAAAGGCATAATTATATAGCAAAATAAACGTAAAGCATTCGTGAACATCATTATTATACTTTATTAGATGTTTGAACCTCTGTTAAAGATTCTCAACGTTAAAAACTTATTTTTTTTATTTTTGCCCTCATTGTAGGTTTAATATTTCATTCATTATTGGTTTATATTTATTAACTGATGGCGTTAAAAATCTGATTTTTATTGTTAATGTATATTTTTTTAAACCTATTACTAATAATACTTAATAATAAATTAAATTGACAGTAAGAACTATAAAATTGTTTGTTTCTTGCATTTGTCATTTTTGCAATTGTGTGTATGATTCATACAATAATAAATCTATTCACTGGTAATAATAATATGAAATAATTTTACCTGTTTTTAGTTCAAAAATGTATTGTACATTAATTTTTAGAGTTATTAGTATATACTAAAAATGTTACTTAGTTTATTGCCCCTTTAAATCCAGTGTAGTTTTTAAATAATACATTTTTAAATTAAGGACTATTAAGGTTTATAAGCTTTACATTTTCTGAAAATCATATCAAACATTTAGTAATTAAAAATCAAAAATGAATCAATTGTTAGCAGTTAGTATATTTAAAAAAAAAATCTTACAAAATAAAATAATTATATTGTAATCATCAATATAATATAATAATTTTTTTAAAAATCAATTTAATTAATGTTTAAAGTTAGTTTATTATATTGTAAATTCAAATTTGTAGAATATTATTTTTTTTTAAGAAAAAAATTATCTTGAATTATAAATTTTATCTAAAATTTAAAATTAATGTAAGATACCGTTATAATAATATGTATTAGAATAGTTACTTAAAGTTCAAGATAAATTTGAGGTACATTCAATTTATATATTTATTTGAAAAATAACACTTTAATAATTATTGATAAACACATGAAAACAATTTAAATAATCATATTTTTTAATCTAAAATAAGTCAAAGCTAAGTAACCGTTACCAAAAATGTTATGTTGAATTGCATCAACTAATTGCATAATATGTGGGTGTGGACATTGCCATACCAGTGGGTCCAATCCAAGGTACACTCATTATACCTACACAGATAATTCTGAACTCCTTATATGGATTTACTATGTATAAAAAATGTATCATACATTTTAGTTTAATATTTGAAATAGGATGTTTTATATAAATTAATGTATACATTATTTAGAAGTATTAAATTATAACTATAAAATGAGGTCATTGATGTCATCAGTAAAAATCATACTATATTTTGTCTATTTATATCCTTAACTATTAAAAACTAAAATATAGTTTTTTTTTTGTTAAATATGTATTTGCTATTTATAGATAGAATTTTATAAACATATTATGAATTATAATTTAATATTTAACTTGCCTTACTTATTGTTAAATAATTAATGTATATGCTTTGATCTATAACAATCAATATATTTTTATTTTTTATTACAAAAATGTCTTTATAATAAATTATTAATTGTAACATAACTGAACAGTGAATTATTTTAGATTTATTATTTAATATTATAATTAGATATTTTTAAAGTAATATTTTTTATGACCTAAATTTAATAACTCATATATTTATGTATTATAAATGAACTCTTGACCATGTAAAATATTTAAGTTCGTACAAATTTGATTAATTTTATCAATTTAATATAGAATAATGACTTACATTATTTTTGTTTCAGAAATATTTTGTAACAGACTATGATCCTACAATAGAGGATTCATATACAAAACAATGTGTAGTTGATGATGTTCCAGCAAAATTAGATAGTAATTATTTTTTGAATAATTTATGTTAATAAATAATACTTTACATTATATAAATAATTTACATTTAATTATTTAGTTTTGGATACTGCTGGTCAAGAAGAATTTAGTGCCATGAGAGAACAATATATGAGATCTGGTGAAGGATTTTTATTGGTATTTTCCGTCGCAGATAAAACAAGTTTTAATGAGATGGAAAAATTTCATAGACAAATACTAAGGGTTAAGGATAGAGATGAATTTCCTATGCTAATGGTTGGGAACAAAGCAGATTTAAGTAGTCAAAGAATGGTTTGTTTTGATTATTTTTAAGTTGTATTATATTATTTACATATAATAGTATAAAAATTACAATAATTAAATTATAATATAATTTTATAGGTTTCTATACAAGACGCACAAAATATGGCTATGCAACTGAAAATACCTTACATAGAATGCAGTGCCAAAGCTGGAATGAACATAGATCAATCATTCCATGAACTTGTTCGTATTGTAAGAAGATTTCAATTATCTGAAAGACCACCAATTAAATCATTGCCACAGAAAAATTCTAAAAAGTGTTCCATACTTTAGCAAATTATATTGTAGAATATACAATATAAGTATGGTTATATAGCAACCAGCACTTAACTTATTTGTTGTGTTCACAATTATTGTCAATTTTAACTATTCACATTTAAAACAAATATTTTTCACAGTATTAAATTTTAATATCTAGTCGTACAACATTGTACATCAGAATAAAACTATTGATACTTCATTAACATATCAGGCATTTTATTATTAATAACATTATTTTAAGTGAGCGTCAAGATAGTCAATTTATTTATTTTATAGTTGTATATAGTAAGGGATGATCAATGTAATAATTAAATATAATAGAAATAATCTTGTCTGATTGTATCAAAAAAAAAATAAAAAATTATCAAATCCAGTACCCAGGTCCAATTATTTTTTAACCTAATATTATAATTTTATTTTTTCTTAAATGTTTTAACTATTTACATTTTATTACTTAATCGATGTATAAGTGATCTAAATTTTCTTTAATTTTTATTAGAATTATCATATATTTTGCCCTTTAAAATATTTTTGATATAAAATCAATTTACTCTGACGTTCTCTTAAGATTTTTCTTATTAATCATTAATTTCATAACTGTTTTTTTTTTTTTTTTTTAACAATTAATGTTTTAAATTAACAAAATATTAATCAAAAACTACATTATTAAAGTTATTTTGAATTGTTACCTATTATTTATTTTTCTTAAAAAAATGTTTTATTTTTGTATTTATAGAATTTATACATAAATTATATATTTTTAATAACTACTGGTTAAGTACATAATGATTTATTATATTATAACATATATTTGTCTTTACAATATTTAACAAAATGTATGTTTTGAAGTAAGATCTTAATAAATTTATTATGCCAAACAATATTTTATTTGTTTTGATTAAATCATAAAAATATATAAGAGAAAACTTTTGTATAAATGAGAACAATCATTAATAATGTTAGATAACTATAGATTAAAATGATCATGCATTGTAATTGCTTTAAACTAGCCATTTTCTTATGTGATACCAAGTACTATGGATCATGTCACACAACTTGAAACTAAGTTGATTATTGGTATAATTTTATTTAATACTCCTCGACTATAAGTAATTATTTAAACATTTAACACATGAGAGACAGAATTAGATACTTAATATAAGCATAATATTGGTGTCAGTTTAACATAATTTATACTTATGGCCTAAAAACTAAATATGTTGAAAGCTACATGTGTTTTAGTACTTATGTTTCATTAAAACATGTACTTCAGATGTAACTTAATATATAACAATATATATCTTATACAAAGTGACATAGAAGTATTCAGTAGCGCATTTAAGGGGGGAGAGTGAAAGAGGCAAATTCTCCAAATGGCAAAATATTGTAACTTTTATTATTGATGTGTTTATAATTTTTTTTAATTTTCATACATTTTTCGGTATTGTTAAGAATTTTAAAAAATATTGTTAAGCATCTAATAAGAAATTAAAAAAATTATACAATACCTAGTCACCTATATAATACTGAAATAGCAAAATAAGTATATTACATTTATTATTCGATAAGAAATATTTTCGTTTAATGTTTATAATAAACACTCAGGTAGCTACACACGGTGGCGTAGCAAGGATTTTTAAATGGGGGGGGCTAACCACTTTTTTGGATAAGTAAGGTAAGAGAGGATATGAGAATTATCCTTAAACCCCCCCCCCAATCATCTACCACCAAGTTTCTAAACGTAATTCAAGCATTTAAATATAGTTATAAAATATTTATTAATATATAATTTATAATAATAATAATAATTTTGGTTTCAGGTTCAGTCACTTGCTCCATTCTGACAGCTGCATCCTCTTAGGCGAATTTCTGGTAAATTCAATTATTATTTCACTTTCATCGAATTGCTCTTTTTTATTTATATTAGCCATAGCTAACCCATTCAGTCTGTTTTCCGACATGGTGCTTCTTAAAAAAAATTTTAAGCGACTAAGTGCTGAAAGCGTTCTTTCCAGAGTGAAAGAGGTAACTGGTAACGTGGCGAATAATTGTAAAAGTATTTTAATGTTAGGTCGAAGATTGGTACGATGAGAGAGTGAATCAAGAGCAGAATTCGGTGTTGGAATAGTATTCTGACTCCATTGTTGCCTCCATATGAACAGGTCAGCTCTAATTGTAGATGAGGTATCATCATGGAGATCTTGGACATTTATTTTAGCAGCTTTTCATCGTCATACAAATTGAAATTGGCCGGAATAAGTTCTTCAAGTGGCATAACATCAATAATCCTCTGATTAAAACGAGCATCCATTGATTCTATTAAATAGTCAAGATACATTATACATATAAACACGGCCTATGGGGGGGGGGTTTATAGCCCCCTCCCCCCTTGGCTACGCCACTGGCTACACAGAACGCGGTATCACTTTAGGGCACATTTAAAAAGTTTACAAAAGGAGTAAAATTGTACCTAAAAGTGTTCAATTTATGTTATCATTTATAAAAGAGAATAGTTAAGTTGAAGTATATTCTTATATTGATATTGCTCTAAGGATGCTACTATGTATGTACACTTTCAAGTAATTGTTCAACGAAAACATTTTCTACATTAAAAAGGGTCAAAACTTATTTGAGAACAACAACGGGAGAAAATCGTCTTAATTAATTAATAATCCTCGACATTGAAGCTGATTTAACGAAAACTATTAATTTTAATGATATTATTGAAAATTTTTCTTCTCAAAAGTCAAAAAAAAAATTAATTAATTAATATGCTATCGATTATTTTTTTATATATAATTAATAATAAATATAATATATTCAATCTAATAAAAAACCATGTATTGTTAATCATTGTGTATATAATAAGTGTTGATTCCGTTTTCTATATTTAATATATTTTTTTTTTAAGAAAGGAATATTCACTTTGAAAAAAAAATAGGTTAACGTTAGGATATGTATCACTATAAAAGTATCTAATATAATATCGCAGTACAACTGACTTATAATTTGTTTCATAAAATTTATTTTTTTATTGCTTAACATTGAATTTATTTATATATATATTTTTTTTTTTTTGGTAAGGGGGAAGTGCAAAAAAATTATTTTGCCCCCCCATGGCGCATATATATTAAATGCGCCAGTGGAAGTATTTAAATCAGATTAACAAATATTTAGATTATTCAATTTTTCTAAAAATAATTTTTTTATTTTTAAATAAACTTGGGAAGAAATAACGATGTAGTACAGACACTTAACTCTAGATTTGACCTAAACACAGGTACACAAAAGTATGAACTGAGCTTGTCTTCAAATACAAGGCCTTAAGAAAAAAATTTATTTTACTTCAGACACTATACCCATTTGTTCTTGACTATTTTACACACATACAATATGGCATATCTGCGTTTAATAAAACCAATGTTGTTGTTAGTTTAAATATTAAACTGACTAATTATCAAACTTAAAAGGTAGAACATTATTTGTCATAATATAAGTTTAATACTCTTTTTTTTAAATTGCAACATTATAGAATATTATAAATCAGTAAATTTATTAAAAATGTATGATTAATTAAATATACTTATCAAATTTATTCATTCTTTGAATTTTTTTATCACTTTAGTCTATTTTACAAAACATGAGGCCACTCCCCGACAAGTACTCAAGTATCATCTGTTTGAGTTACTTGATATTAGAATACCCATGAGCAATCCATTGTCACACTGAGCTACTGTGAAGCAGTGAAATTATTTTAGTCTACCAAGCATTTTACAGCCTTGTTGTAGCTGAGATTTTAATGACTTCAAATGAAGATCATTAGAGCTGGAACTTTGATGCAAATACATCTTTTACTGATGTTCCTAAAACAGGTTCGTATGAAGAAAATGTGTAAATGTTTAAAAGTGATACTAATTAATTTAATGTAGTTATTATTTTGCATTTTTCAAGTTTTAAGAGCATTTTACAGAATTTAATTTATCTATAAATTCCTAAATATTTAAGTATTTGATTATGCATTTGTCACTTAAAATTTAAATATTTATTTTATAAGTAAATTATTATATGAATATATCGAACCATGTTCTTGTAATCAAGAGACGTAAGGTGGCCTAACTCACAAGTCACTCAAGAATAGTAGAATAAAACGCAATGCTTGGAAGTAGCATCGTTTGTGCATTTCTAGTACAAAATAAAGGAAGTGATTTACAAGATACTAAAGTATCCTTAGCACTGCGAGTTGCCTTGTGTGAAGACAGCCTCTCACAATATTGTAAAGCTTAACTTATATATGAACTTATCCACACCAAAAAAAAACATAAAACAATGTTATAAGATTACAATACTGTTCTATCTCAAGGAGTAAAAAAAAAAAATCAAAATTTCACAAAAAAATGTTTTAATTAATTTCCAATACAAGAAATACTTAAAAGTTTAAACAGCAAGTAGTTCCCTTTGGACTTTCCTCCAGTTATCCAATGGTCCATGGTCTGGGCGGAATTTAACATTGGCACCATCGGGTGCTAATCTTCCATCTTCCTTTAACGTTTCATATTCGTCTCGATCATATTTGGTGAAACCCCATTTTTTGCTAACATAGATCTTGAAAACAAAGTTATAAAATTTAAAAAGTGAAAATATTGTAGATAAATAAAAAAAAAATAATAGCTTCTACAGTTTGTTTTAAAGTATTATTTTCAATGCACTAAAATAGTTCTACTCCAAAAAATTAAATCCATCAGTCAAAACTATAATTTTTAAAACAGAACTTTTAATTAATTATAAATGCTTTGCAACAGACTTACTTTTTGACGACCAGGGAACTTGAATTTAGCACGACGTAAAGCTTCAATAACAGCAGCCTTGTAACGATCAGATGACCGGACACTCATGATTGGTTGACCAATATGTACACGAGCAACAGTACCTTGAGGTTTACCAAAAGCTCCTCTCATTCCAGTTTGGAGCCTAAATACAGTCCATTTTTAATTACTTATTTCACAAATAAAAATTATAAACACATACCTATCAGCTCCAGCACACGACAACATCTTATTAATACGAATAACATGGAACGGATGAAGTCTCATACGAATATGGAACTGATCTTTACCACAATGTTTAACCATGTATTTATTGGCGCAAATACGTCCTGCTTCCAAAGCCTCAGATGACAACTGTTCATATTCATCAGATACCTTATAACAATTATTTATGTTAAAGAACTTCACTTCAAATAAGAGTAATTTATATTATTTATTTCTTACTAGATGTACACATAGTGGAAAATCATCTACTCTAGCCTTCTTCTTTCCCAAGTCAAAAATTCTAATTTTTGGATCTGGCACTCCGCGACAAAACCGTGACTTAGGATACGGCTTGTTTTTGCAATAACGATAACTAATAAGTAAAAGAAAAAATGATTGCTTAAGATTAAAATATAATTGGTACTAGTATTAGTTGATATATCACGCTGAAATAATTTATATAATAGAGAAAGTAATCTGTTTGAACTAAATAATCAAAAAAAAAAAACTAAACTTTACAGATATCTGTCACTAAATAAAATGTGGTGGTTGTTAAGGAACAAATAATAAGCAAATTTACTTACCATCTTGCAGGACGACGGCCCATTTCTGTAAACAAAACGTTTAAACAAATTAAAATAAAACACTTTTAATAATGGTGTTAACTTCAACGTCACTACATAAAAGGATTCAAACGGATGAAAAATACTTACTTACTTCCCGATGTCTCACCAGTGATACAGAACGAAAGAGAATTCCCAAATCATTAAGTAATGTTTATCATGAGAGAAACGTAGAGCGGGGCCAGTGGAATATCAAAGGCGAACAAATATTGCAAAGAGGTTGTAAGCAGTTGAAATAATAAAATACATTCATGGAGGAATAAATAATAAGGACTTTTATAAAACACCGCTAAATATAAACAGCGGTAAACATTATATTCAAGTTTGTGTAGTAGGCATAGATAATATATGTGTATAATATATTATTTATGGTAGTAAGTACATTATTAAATAATATGTGTACAACAACAATGGCATAATTGGTGGAGGGGCAACTCATGCATTTGCCTCAGTCTCAAATGTAATTATTCCAAAGTCGGCAAATCATCAAAATATAAATACGTATTTTGATAAAGTCTTTTATAAAGCTATCCAAATTTTGGTAATCAGAAAATTGATATGTGTACTACACGAGTACTCAGAGGCGGATTTGACGTAATTACAAGAGGTACACTGCATTCCCAAAAATATGGGGTGGGTGTGTTTTTGTACATTTTTGGAAAACTTATAATCGTTAATACTTAATACTACTACCATGTTTATGGACTATGATGATATTAATATATTATACTTATAGAATCTGATTGCTATATAGTCCACTGTTAAGCTGATTATATTAGTACAGTTAATAGATGATATTAATAAAATATATTAAGAAGACGTACCAGTCGTCACCGAAAAAAATTACTCGAAAATATTAAAGACGTGAGACGCGTATTAACTTTTATAAATAAAATGTTGTTATCATTGTAAATATACAGTATGATCACCATCACAGGTACTACTAAATAGCTCATGCGTTCTAATTAATTGTTGTATTTTTATTTTATTATTATAGGTACCTAAGTAATTAACCTGTTTTACTGTAATATATAATTCCTAGGTATTTCAAAAAGTGCAATTTTTATTTTATATTTACTGTTAATTTTGAAACTAAACAGACTTATTTTATTAAAATTTAAGTCATTTATAGTATGGGACACAAAAAACTGATGAACATACATAGTTTAAACTTTAAATAGGATATTATTTATTGATATAGAAATAATTATATAAACTGTTTAATGTGAAAAATATTCATCATTTTCATTATCCCCGTCAATTTTCAGTTGCGTACTTACCTATATTATATTATTTACATCAACCCAATCTTAATTTATATTATGGGATGAATGTAAAAACTTACATAATAACCATTCGAAAATATAACTAATATAATATACTGATTATTTGTTTATTTCCCCTCCTCAGATTTTTTTCTTTTATAGTGGCCAAAAAATAGCGAGGGGCGCTTGGTCCCTCTCCCCCCTACAGGTGTCCTTGGTGGTAATGGTAATGTTTAAAATGTAGGTGTGTGGTCTGAATTAATATATGCACTCCTAATATCAATTGTCTCAATCCGCCACTACGGGTAATTATGTACAAAGTATAAATTATATTTTTGGACTGTTTTGACGTTCCCCTCTCCCCATATTAGTTAGCATTTTGGTAAAATGACCTTGCGGCTTTGGCCTGGCCGACTGTCCTACTCTACAAAAAACTAAAATTATACCACTTCCAGTGGCATCATTTAGTATGGTAACTGGAGCATTCTTGTCCCAGTCTAATTTTAACTTGATAATGTAATCAGCACCCTTAAAAAATAAAAGAAGTCTTCAAGAGTTTTATTTTGTCTACAAATACTAAGTGTGGATAACTTGACTTCCTTGGACCTTCCCTCTATCCACCCCTGTACCTAAATGCCTTTTTTTTTGTAAAAAGAATATTAAAAATTCAACCTACTTTAGAAACTTATAAAGAAATTTGTTTTTATTATTAGGTATATCAATATTCATAAGAAATATAAACTAATTCATCCTTTCCAGGGGCAGAGTGGCTCAACAATTCTTACCGGGCAAACAGATATTTTCAGGCCACATAAATTTATTTCAGGCCATTTTTTTCAAATTTAATTTCTTATCATATATTGTCTTATTGTTAGATGTGTGCTAACCATTTTTTGATTGGGTAAAGCATAAAACAATTTATTTAGCCTACATATTGGTAGAAGGTATTATCAATTTATTATCATACACATTTTATATTCTTCCTAGCTTCTATTGTAAAATAGGTAGTATCAACCATAAAAATGTTTATTCATTATAATATCAAGTATTTGAACCAAAAAACTCCCTCTAAGTAATCTTATAACTGAACACAGTTATTATTTTATATTTACACAAATATATCACTACTATAGAAATTTTTTTTTTTTTTTGTAGATTATAAAAACACTTAAGCTTCTTGTTTTAAGAAATTTATTAAATAATATTTTACAATAACAATTTGCTTAGTAAATTACTTTTACTGCCTCTCATTAGTAATGACATCGTTATCCAATTCTATGAGTATTGATTTTTCAATTGACATTAGCATAAATTCTTCTAGATGTTCATTAGTCATTGAATTCCGTAGTCTACTTTTTATGTACTTCAATATGGAAAAAGATCTCTCACAGGATACTTGAATAACTGGTAGCGTTAACAGATATTTATAAGCTGTATGCATTAGAAAATAAGTTGTACTTAACTAGTAATCTGTAACAACAAATTTTTACAAATATATTTGTACTCTATAGAGTTGCAAGGTTTTAATTGATTTTCAAAGTCTTCCTCTTCTTGATTTTCATCTTCATCATTCATATCATTTGATAAACTATGGACATGATATTCATCTTCTAGAGAGTTTTTCAAATACTTCCACAATTTGCTGAAATTCAATAGTTCATCTGAGAGTTGATTTCTTATTTCTTTAAGATTCTCTCCATCATCACATTTTAAAAATGGTTTTAATTTTTTAGCCAATGTTAAAAACGCATTTTCAGGTACATAATTAAGAGGGAAATTGTTTAGAGATAAAAGTGATAGGTCAAAATATAATGAATTATTATTTACAAATCTAGTAGTCATGCTATTTATAATTGTATCTAATACTATATTATATACTTCAGTTGTAAATTTTTTTTTAGGGGTAACATTGGTAGCAGTAAGATCTTCTTTTTTCATAATTAAATATTTTCTTTTTCTTAGATATTCTTTTAATTTGAAATTTTGTCTGAATTTCTTCAACAGTTAAATTAAAACAATCAGCCATAGTTACAATTTCATTATTAATATTCATTATATACTTATCACTAACTTTTATATCTTCCATACTACGTTGGATATTTTTAAGACTTACTAAAGCATTTGTTACTATTTGCTGACATTTTAAAAGATCTAATTTACTTGATTGTAAATATTTTGATAATGGTCCTGTGATTTGAAATATTTTCATATACATATGAGCTATTAAAATAGTTTCATATTTTAGAAAATATGAAATAAAATTACTGGCTTTTGATCTTATATCTGGGTTTAAATTTGGTTTTTGTTTAATTTTTGTTAAAGTAATTATAAGATTAGTCAACATTCCATTGTCATCAGTACTATTATATGAACCAAATATTCTTTTTAATGCTGTTTGTTTAGCTGTCTATCTTGTTTCACCTATTGATTGTAATCGTTTGTGATTATTATACTCATCTTTTTCACTAATTTCTTTCCATATATTCATTCGTTGGTATGATTCTTCAAAAAAAACAGCACAAGAATGGATTAAAGAAAAAAAATTAGCTATTGCAATTAGACTTTTGATTGCATTTCTAATTACAAGATTGAGTACATGACTATAGCATCAAATGTGTACTTGTTCTGATATAGTGTACTGATATTAGGTTCAATTGACTGTCCTAAAATACTCTCTTTAATCCGTTTTAAAATTAATAATTAATAGCCTTAATACTAGAGATCTAAAACCTTTTTGTCCACTTTTTTTAAATAAAAATTATATCTTGAACTCTCCTGCTAACCTTCTTATGGCTGCAGGTAATACTTTTATCTTTCATTATATTTTAAATTGTATTATTATTTTTAACTGTATTCTACATTTAATTTTAAGTTTTATTATTATATTCAACCTCTTATTAAGTAAAAACTATAACTTGTTGTATCATGTATTATTTTTCACCACAATGTTAATATTATTATGTTTTAGGACTCATGTCCGTTTATATTAAATAAATAAATATAGGACATGACAATGCTTCTCAATCTTAAATTATGTTCATACTGAAAATATTAACTTTATCAAGATTTTCAATTATTAATTAAATTTTAACCAATGTAATGTAGATTTTTGTATATATATAATCATTTTTTTGAAAAGAGTTGAAGATTAAACATTATTTGAATTTTTCATGATTAAATAAATAAAAAAATGTCTCTGAATATACATTTTTATGTTGCTTTATTTACAAAATATATTAATAACATAAATGTTTTATATTATATTGTGTTCATAATCTAATATTTTCTAAAGAAAAAAATTAAAAATATCGGGATCAATTATATTAAATTAAAAACTAATATACACAATAGTATACATTTACAATTTTCAAGATTTGTATTTTTCTAATTGTGTAATTTTTCGTGATCTTTGACTCTTCATTGTAGTAATACACTAATATTTTCTATAGAAAAAATAAATAAAATATTGGGAAATATTAAATTAAAAACTAATATAAATAATAGTATACATTTACAGTTTTCAAGATTTGTGTATCTCTATTCATGTATATTCATGTAGTTTTTCGTGATCTTCGACTCTTCATTGTAGTAATACACTGAGGACAATACCATTTACCTTTTGGTGGGTCTGTAATACCAACACATTCACAATGATACCATTCATATGGACACTAAAACAGAATTCATAAGCCATTTAAATATATACATTTATATGTATCAATAAATAAATAATTATTTTCTAATTACCCCTTTATTATCACAAGCAACCATTGTACCATAAGCAACTTGATTACATATGCAATAACGAGGTTCATTTGGATCAATTGGTTCATCCACATCCTCTTCAGTTGACAATTGTGAATTTTGAGTACCTCCTCGTCTAAAAATTAGTAACACAAATAAGAATAATTTAAATTTTAAATTTTATATAAGCGGTTTTTGTTTGATTACCTTCTATGTTTTCTTGTTCCATCTATATTTGGATTGACTAGATGTGCAACACCTGCCAATTCTTTACTAATAGGTAATTCTGATGGTAGTACACCAGAAGTAGAGCTCATTTGGCCAGTCAATGTAGCTCCGGAATTGATTGCTTCAAGAGATGCTTTAAGACTAGCCGTTCTACGGCCTTGGGACAGCTATAAGAGTTATAATTTAGAATTAAAATTTAAAAAATGATTCAAGTTAGATAAAAACACTCATACATATATATATGATATGATATGATATATGAATATATTATAGATAATGAAGAATAAATATGTCATACTAGTTTACCTTAGTAATGAAATATAGTTATTTTAAATTTAATAACAATGTAATACCATCAAATTCAAAAAATAATTTTGAACTGTACTTAGTTAACTTCAATTTTTTTTCCTAATGCTTATTAAAAACAATTAAATACAATATATAACTTAAGATTTCATAATTGTACAACAAATAACTTTTTTGTTCAACCTAAGACAAAAATTTGGATTATGGACAAATTGTAAATCACAAATAAATGTTTGTAGATACAGCAAATTTAATTGTAACATTTATTAAATTAATTAAGCCTAAAAAAATATGCAATAGCATAGATTAAATATACATAGATAGACTATGGGTATAGGCGATATGGAAACCAACTTATTTAGTTTAACGATGTCTCAACAGATAGCGACGACCGTAGCGTCAATCGTTTATTTGTAAAATATTTCTAATAAAATAGATGGTTTGTTTATTTGGACATAAGATAGTGAATAGAGGTGATTTTGATGCATGCGGGCGGGCATGTTTGACGTTTTCGGTATACAAAAATAGAACGCAAACGTTGTTTATTATTTTGATATCTGTTCATTAGTTTAATTTGAAAATAGATACTTATCAGTCGAATTTTCGATATGAATACTTTATGGTGTATATGAATTATTATATTTCAAACACGTAAAATATTTTGGGAAACAGTACGATACGATATCTATAGTAAAATAGTACAGTAATTTAATAATTTTAATATTTTAAAATGGCTACAAAAGGCAATAAATGTATGTTTTTCAACTGTGGCAAACTCAGAAAACTGACAGTAATTTAAAACTTTTCCGTTTTCCCAAAGACCCAATCCGGGCTAAAGAATGGGAGAAACAATCAGGTTTGTTAATTTTCAATTAAATAATTGTAAATAACTTTTAATTGTGATTAGATATTTTATGATATTCCGAAAGGAGTAATGAATGAATTGATTTTACACTGGTGTTTATTTTTTTTTTAATAATGCTCTCGCTCAAAAACGAAAAACAGCAAATACTTGTTATTTTCTCTAAATGTTTATATTAGCGTTTTCTATACATGGTTATTTTTTAAATATTTTGACTTTTTTAACCTAATTATAGACAATTTAAATTTTCGATTTTTCTAAGTTTTTTTTTGTTAAAATTGTCTGATTTTTTGTAGATTTTTAATTAGTTTCCATCCTTTTTTAATTGTTTACTAAAATTATTTTAAAATTCAATTTCGTAGTTACGTATATAGTTACGTAGTTACATATTGATATTTATTTACCTACGTGATTTTTTTTTATTACAAAATTTGATTATGTACTTAAAATTATGGTTTAATCAACTTGATTATAAAAGTTAGATACTAAAACCTTTGTTTTTTTTTATTCTTATAGGGAATATTAAATTGGCCGATATGACTTTTGAGCAATTAAATAACCGGCATGTATATAGTTTACATTTTAACCCATCAGATTTTAATAACATAAATTTACAACAAAGACTTCCATTCACTACAATTCCATTTAAATATGACTTTTTTGAATCTCCAGATTTACATGTTAAAATTCCAACAAAAACGTATAATAAAGGACCCCAAATAACACTAAATTATTCACCTGCTATTTTAAATAAAACACAGTCTTCAGTAAATTTGAGTAATGAGTGTTCATCATCAACCCATTTAATGATTCAATCATTTATTGATATACCTTCCCCTGTCAATACAAATAAAAATTTAAATAAATCAGGAATAATATTATTTCCCACCGAAACTAATCCAACAACATTAAATAATAAATTGAAAGATCAAATTCGAAAAAAAAATGTATTGTTAAAAAATAAATTATCTACTATAAGTAAATTGAAGAAAAAATTGAAAATTAAACATAAATTAAAAAGTAACATAACATTTTCAAGTTTAGGCTCTAAAGTATTTGCGGAAATGCAGATGTTCCGTAAACATAATTCAAAATTACCGTGGAAACTATCCGAAAAAAATTTTGCTATTAATTTATACTATAAATCTTCAACAACTTAAACATTTCTCAGAAAAAAACAACAAATAATTTTACCAAGTGAGTCAACAATTCGTAGGTGGCTAGGATATTCTAAATTTTGTCCTGGTTTTAATAGTCTTCGGCTTAAACAAATAAAAAATAAATTAGAAACGATGTCAAATGAAGAGAAATATTGTTCAATTATTTTTGATGAAATAAAAATAAAATCATTTTTAGAATATTCAAAATATCTCGACATGGTAGAAGGCTTTGAAGATTTAGGGCACAGAGGTAGAACTAAAAAATTAGCATCTCAGGCTATGGTTTTTATGATTTGAGGATTATATAGTAAATGGGAGTTACCTCTAGCTTATTTTTTAACAGGTTCTTCAATGAATAGTTCAATCTTAAAAGATTTAATAAAAGACATCATAGAAAAATGTATGGATTTAGGTTTTAATCCGGTGACAATAGTTTGTGATCAAGGAAGTAATAATTACTCAGTTTTAAAATAATTAGAGTTCACTAAAGACCACCCAGTCATTGAAATTAAAGGACAAAATATATTTTCTATTTTTGATGTACCACACATTTTTAAAAATTTCCGAAACAATTTTTTAAAATACAATTTTAAGTTTAAAGGCAAAGAAGTTTCATTTTCAGACATAAAATTAGCATATAATATTGATAAATCCAGTAATACTAGTAGAGCTCTTTTAAAATTAACCAATAGCCACATAAATCCTGGCCCATTTCAAAAGATGAACTGTAAACTCACTCAAGTTTTTAGTAATACAGTATCAAGTGTTTTAAAAAAGTTATATCACTACAGGCCAAATTAAATCTGAAACTGCTTCTGCAACCTCAGAGTTTATTGAAAAATTAAATAATTTATTCGATTTTCTTAGCAGAAAAACATTATTTAGTCCTAATTTTTATTCTTGTGCTTTAAACACAGATAAACTCCAAGTATATAATTTTTTATTGCAATCCAAAGAGTGGTGTGAAAAATTAGAGTTGTTTCAACCTGTAAAAATGTATGCTAAGTTGTTCCTTGTTTCAATGCTATGGTGTGGACAATAAATTCTATTAGTATTCTATATATGCAACAACAAACTTTAGGATTTAAATATTTTCTTACAAGTCGTTTAAATCAAGATTTAATAGAAAATACTTTTTCAATTTTTCGTCAACGTGGCGGGTTTAATAGAAATCCAACTGCTAGTACTTTTAGAACCTCTTTTAATTTCAAGCTACACACAACTTCATGAAAGCAACTGATTTTTCAAATTGTAAAACTGATTATGACTATAATTTATTGGACTTAAATTCACAAAATAGTATACAACCTACCACCACTTCTAATAATTTGTTCAATTCAGATTCAGAGTGTTCGAACTCAATTGCATCATCTTCCGAAGATTTTAATTTACAATGTTTTTTTGATGATTATGAGCAAAAAATAACCTTGGAATACTGTTCAAATACATATTTCGCTAAAACATTTTTTGATCAGTTTAAATATCCCAAATGTTAATTAATAATACTTAAAAATAATGACCTTTTTTTTCAATGATAGAGAATATTTAATCTTATACAAACAATTTGAAAGTATCGATCCTGAAAAATTTAGTTTACAAAAGCCCTCAGACATTTTTATATAGTTTGGTACTTCAGCTCAAATATATTTGAAAGATAACATAGAACTTAACTCTCACCATAGACAATAATAATACTCCACATTTCAAATACAAATTAAAAATAAATTATTTTCTACTTTAAATTTTAATAAAAACTATGAATAACATTTTGATTTTATTGTTCAAAAAATAATTTATTGTAAATTATTAAGACATTTCAATGGGACTTCTAAACATTTTAAAGGTCATTCCAGTATATCTACGCAAAATAAATTAAAAATTTTAAAAAATGTATAAGTTTTTATATTTTAAACTATAAACAAGTAAACTAATAATAATAGCTAAATGTATTTTTAATTTTCAGCAATGGATTGGAGTTAATTGTATTTATAATATTTTTATTACATTGTAGTATATATTTTACATAATCATTTAATTTTTTATTTATGTATAGGTTTAAAAGATTTTTAAACCTTTCAAAAAGTAATAGTTACCTATTAATATTTTATATATAACAGTTATAAGAAGTAAAAATTATTTGTATTTAATTTAATTACATTATTATTTTTTATTTTCAACAATAAATTTGATACTTTATATTATGTTTATGTATTTATGTGTCATTCATTACAACTAGTTTTTAATAGTAATTCCTATAGTTCCAAACTTCAATAATAACAATAATACTAAGTATTAGACTACTGCAAAAGAAATATTTTCAATATTGTTAAAAGTGAGATTCATAATTTAATAAAAAATTAGATGAATGTATTTTATATTATAAAATGTGTATTATCAGTGAAATATTTAATTGCTTTTCACATGGTTGAAATGTATAATTATTGAAATTGACAGTATATTTTAAAAAATAATAACAAAAATGTAATTTATTTATTAAATTATTGTTTTAGATTTGATGCATGGATCAGAAGATATTATTTTTTTTTTTTTAAAAAAATATTTAATTAATCAGAAATATAACCTGTAAAAATTAATAGTTTAATACAAACTAAAAAATACCAATACAATACAATAGCTTTATAGATTATAGGTAGGTATATATTAAATTATGCGTAGTAATTCTGAAAAAAAAAACAAATAAATTTGTAATTCAATTTGAAATAAAAAATGTAGGATTATTTTATAAAATATTTAATCACTAATTATAGCCGTATTTATATACATACACTAAAAAAATCACAAAATATGCTTCTGCATTCAAAAAATGCGCATAAATTGTTTCTAAAACTGATTTTTTTTTTTAAAAAAAAAGAAGTAATATTTTGATGAAAAGTATTAAAAATTTTACAATGCACATTTATTAAGCATAATAAATCAGATATAATTTAAAAAGTGTTTAACAAGTACATTATTATTTTTATGTCGAAATACAGACATTTATCCTAAACATATTATTTTTAGGTTTAATTTGTTTAATTTCAAGAAAACAAAATTAAGAGTCGTGGTCATGAATAAGTAGTAGATAAGTGAATTATTAATAAATAGTAAATAGTATCAACAGTTGAATGATATTTAGTTATAAAATACGTACCTATTACACATAAGCAAGTTGTAATACTACTAACGACCCTATCAGAGTCCATTTGTATTAATCGCCGGAGTCCAAAATACCCGTATATATGTTGCCGAATTTTAACATGGTATGAGCTATCTATGTATATTTAATCTATGGTAATAGTAAGACTGGGCACAAATTGGAATGCAGGAAACGTAGCGCCCCGCAATGTAAGAAAACCTACGCTACCTATGTCAGCGTATATTACAACGTTCTTTCTATGTCACCATTAATTTAGTTCAACTATGTGACACATTCACAATAAGTTGTGTGAATTAAGTTCACGTAGGTACGGTACTGCTCTAACCTGCCATGCATCCTAATATGTCCTGATTTAACTAATAGATTACAGAAAACTATATTGCATTGCCCTACACTGTGCTACGTTGCATGCATCTCAATTCACACCCCCCTCCCCACAATTCTAAATTACATTTTTTATGAATAATGGACATATAATATGCAATGTTTAGTTATTAAAAATGTTACCTGTTGAGTAGCAACAATAGCTTGAGAAGCTGCTGCAGCAATTGCAGGGCTACCAGCTCCCATATGTCCTAATGTATAAGCTAATGAAGATGGAACCATTCGAGAGTTTGTGGGACTTGCATCACGTTGTGATGGAGATGCTACATCACCACTACTAGCAGAATTTGAAGCTGTTGATGTTGACTTTTGTTTCGAACTGCCAACATTATTTAAGGCATCTTGCTTGTCTACAATAAATAAATAAAAATTTCTATAATATATATAAATCAAAATAATTACATTGAAATTTTTTATTAGGTAAGGATAAAAAATTAAATGTATGTTCTTCACAATAAATACACAAAAAGGTAAAAAGAATTAAAATTACATTTTTTGTCAAAAACATATCATTTAATTAAATGAGGAATGAAAAATTATGAGATGAAAATGTATGAAACTATTACATTTTATAATTATTGATACAGCCTCTTATTCTATTTAAAGAAATATAAATCAGGCATATATTTTTGAAAAATTTGTAATAAATATTTATTTCTAATACATATATTAAGTAATCTTCAGGAATTAAGATATGGGAAGGATAGCAGGTACCTTATAAAAAACAACTTAATTAGTATGAAATCATACCTCCAAAAAGGCATCGGTTCAATTGATACTTATTTTCTTTTTGATTTGTAATATTACTTTGTTCTGAATCTAAGCTTCCTAAAAAATTAAACAATTGAAAATTAAGATTTTTAAAAGAAAATATTATTTTTAAAATGTTATTAAAAAAAGTTATGATATAAAAAAAAAGAAAGAAATAATGAATTCAATATTTACTTTTTTCAATAAGTCCAGTAATTCCACTGTTATCTGCTTCTAGTTCCATTTTAAATTTATGTAATTCATGATCTAATCGTCTCATATATTTTGTCATAAGTTCATGCATATGATTTGCTAATTGAACTTTTTCCTCTGAAGACAATACATTTAAATAGTATAAACTCTAAAATTATTTCATAAAAAATTTACCAGATTGTTCAACAGATTTTTCTCCTTCTTTCATAATTGCTTTAAAATTAGCTTCTAATTCTCCTGGATTCATACTGTCAGCTTTTAAAAATAATGTATCAATATTTTTTTTTATGCAGTCCATGGAATCTGAAATATATTTAGATATATAACAACAATGACTTTTTTATTGTTCTTGCCTGTTTTTTATCAATTTTAGTATTATTTTAGAAAAAATCTAAAATTGTATAGTCAATAAAAAAAGATTATTAGTTTAACAAGTTATTTTTAATAATAACATCTCCAATGATTCAGGTCTAGTTACCTCCAAAGAATAAACTCTTAACTTATTAATAAATGTATTAAATAATTATGATATATATATATATATTTGATGTACAATAAAATACATACTTTCAACTTGTAAGTCCATTTCTCTCATTTCAGTGAAGCGATTTCTCATCTCTTGCGGTAAATGTTCAATATCTAAAGACAATAATAACAACTGTAATATCACACCTTAGACCTATTATCTTTTAATTTTTAAAATTAACTTACTTTCTAAATAATCTTCTAAGTACAACATTGTAATTTAGGTTTTAATCAAAACCGACAAATACCTAGTTTTTATGGACCGACAATTTCAGTTTAATAAAAATGAGAAATTATAACTACAAAAAACACGTTATCGTTAGTCGACAAAGAAAATAAGAATTTACTTTGTCTATGACGCATCATCAGTTATTGTAAATATTTGTTTATAAACATGAAGTTGTAAATAAGATTTTTGGTTGATAATTATTATTTTTATGATAAAAACGTTTCTAAGTTCAATCAATTATGTGTAGATAAATCCATAGAGTAATTGCTATTTGGAATAAATCGACAGATATGTAATAATATGTATTAATTAGTGTTGGGCAAAGATATAATATTGTGTATTGATATCGTTCCGATTTTCTCGATGTTGTATCCCAATATCGGAATTCATTCGATACCGATATCGAATCGAATCATATTTTTATAAATTTAGTAAAATGAAAAAATGATATAAAAATGAATATAAATGATAAAAATGAAAAAAAAAAAACAAAGGCAGTGGATGGAGGCCATCCAGAGATAGAACCCTCTGTGACGAAGTTTAGACGTTTAAATACGTATGTATTGTATTGTAGTTTTTTTTTTTTTTAGAGAAGATCTCGACACCATTTACGGTTTAGTCGACGGATCGGGTTGTCAGGAAGATTGATGGTAGAAAGACGGGAGATTATAGGATTAGAATGGGAATGGTGGTGTTTTCTGTGAAAATTTGAATAGAGTTTTTTTGTTGATTGGTCTATTGTTTCTATTTTGAGATCGTTATGTAGGGAATTATTTGATACATACCATGGTGCTGAGGTAATGGCACGAAGTGAGATGGATTGAAATGCCTGAATAGTGCGAGTTTGAGAAGGCTTAGCGCCTCCCCAAATTTAAACTCCGTATGCCCAAATAGGTCTCAGAAGAGATTTATATACAATTATTTTTGTTTTGATGGACATTTTTGATTTTAATAAGGGTCGGAGCAGGTGGAGACGTCTGTTAAGTATTTTACACTTGGATTTGAGGTGTGGGTCCCAAGTTAGCCTTTTGTCAAACACTATACCAAAGTATTTAACTTGGTTTGATGTTGGAATAGGAGAGCCCTGAAAATAAAGGAGGGGAATATTTTCTTTGCGCAACGTAAATAGTACCGTGATCGATTTTTCTGTATTTTTTTTATTTTCCCTGTTGACGCCCAAAGTTCAATTTCGTTTAAATGATTTTGAAGTGAATTGGCCGCTGTGTTGGGATCATCGTCGGATGCTAGTATCGCCGTATCATCTGCATATGTGGCTAGCATGGTGTTATTTGAATAAGGGATGTCAGAAGTGAATATATTAAATAAGTCTGGAGAGATATCGCTTCCCTGTGGGACACCAGCAGTTATAGGATAGTATGAAGAAAGTGAGTCATCGTGTCGGACTTGAAAAGTGCGATTTTCTAGGAAAGAACGGATTATTAAGTAATATGATGCGGGTAAAAACGACTTTGATTTAAAAAGAAGGCCCGGGTGCCATACACGATCGAACGCTTGAGACACATCGAGAAAAACACCGGGACAATACTGTTTTTTTTTTCAAATGAGGTGGCTATAAGGTCACTTAACCTATAAATTTGTTGAATAGTTGAGTGTTTCGATCTAAATCCAAATTGTGTGTTTGGTATTATTGAGTTTGAACTTAAAATTGGTCTAATTCTTAGAAGAAGGGTTTTTTCGAAAAGTTTGGCGATTGGAGGAAGAAGACTGATGGGTCTGTATGAAGATGTTATGTGTTTGGGTTTATTTGGCTTGTGGACCAAATTATTGTAGAAAACTTCCAAATAAGGGAATAGTAACTTAGTCTTAGCATGGAATTAAAAATATAGATTATTAGTAGTATAGTTTTATTTGGGAGGTGCTTTAACATTTTATTTAAAATCAGATCGTAGCCAGGTGATTTACCTTCTTTTAATTTTAATATAATATTTTTTATTGCATTAGGAGTTGTATGTTTTGCTGGTAGTGGAACAGGAAAATGACTATCTAGATAGTTTTCTATAATTTTTGTGTCCTCAGAAATTGTAATAATATCATCGTGAGATGAAAATATTTTAGCCAAGTGTTCCCCAAAAAGGTCTGCTTTATCTAGATCAGATACAGCTAAATTACCATTTGGTTTGATCAAAGGTGGAATTTGGTCTTTAATTCCTATTAAATTTTTTGTAGTTTTCCATAAGGATCTATCTTTTGTATTTAATTTTTGATATTTTGAAAGGAAGAACTCGGATTTGTTTTCTTTTATAAATTTTTTAATCATGTTAGACAAGTGATTATACACATTTTTATCAGATGGATATCTATTTAGTTGCCAATGAGCGCGAGCTCTACGTTTTAAGGTAATAAGATCTTTTATATTATTAGGAAGGGTGTTTTTATTTGAATATTTGTTGCTTGTATAACTGATACATAGTTGAAGATTAAGGGGAGTGGTTGGTAGTGTATATTGAATGATATAATTATAGCTGAGCCGGCGTAAGCGGTTCCGTCAGGATGGTCAGCTCTAGTAATTTATATCCAGGGAAAAAGTATTTAGAATTCGATGTGTAATGAGTTTCTGATATTAGAGCTATATCTATTTTATTTTCAATTAGTGAATTAAGAAATTCGGGTTCATGTTGTTTTATACCATTTGAATTCCATAAAAGGATTTTGAGAGAACTTAAATTTGTACAATTAGTCATTTTTTAATTAATAAGATTTTATTTATGACAGTGGTCAATAATACTATTAGAGGGTTGATTATTTGTTTAAATTCTGTTAAGAATAATGAAAGTTGATTTATATTATTATCAGGATGAGTATTTTGCGGCGGTTCCGAGTTGCGTGCGAAAATCGTTTTCTGGGTCGAATTGCGTGCGTAGTTTTTTCAAAACGGGGTTGAGTTGCGTGCGCGGTTTTTTTGTGACAGAGCCGAGTTGCGTGCGAGATACAGTGTTGATGGCGCACGGTGTGCCAGATCACACATTTTGCGGACAATTTTTTTTTCTCACCTTTAAATGAACCAATGAGTTACACTAAATAATTAAAGAATACATTTATTCTTCGAATACAAATTATTAAAACAATATTAATTCAAGTGATAATACAATAAAATTATTAGGTATCTCGTAAAAACGATTATATTTAAATATTTTATATGAGTAGCAAAAAATGTAATTTAAAATTACAGTCTAAATATTATAAAAATAAGAAAAAATAAAAAATAAAAAAAAATAGGTTTGTTTATATATATATTTTGAGTTTTGTATTCAAACTTAAAACACAACTGGCAAATTTTTGTACACCACCTTTTCAATAAATTCCAAACGAGTTAACATTTTATTTTGAAATTGATGCATAATGTCATTAATATAATCTTCTTTTTCTTATACCTCCCATCGTTTTTTTGTTACATTTGAGCTACGAATTTTGACATAAACATCGGTTTGTACATTTTTCAAGATTTCTACAAATTGAAATATATTTGTAATACCCATATATAGCTATCATATTAGATACAGATAAATGATTCTCCGGCTGACACATCCAGCTCGGTGAAACCCGGTTGTCTTTAAATAAAATATGCGCATGCAATTCAGTTCTGTCATGAAGAAACCACGCACGCAATTCGGCTGTGTCTCGAAAAAACCACGCACGCAATTCGGATGCAGCCGTATTTTGATGTGATTGGTGTTGAGAAGGAGCTGTTTTTTTGGAATATGTCTCAGCTGTATGACTTTGTGGGAGATTTGAGAATATTTTGTTGTTTTTTAAATTAGGAGCGATTACAGAAGTTTCCTGACTAGGGGCTTCTTCCTGATTAACATTAGTGGTTGTTTAACAATGTTTTTTGAATAAATCTTGTTTTTACTATTGTTGAGATACATTTGTTGAAGGTCTTTGTGGACTGTGTAACCTCTGTAATTTGCAGGGTAGCTTCTCCGCATAGGGCGCAAGTAGGTGGAAGATCAGTGGACTTCGTACATTGGTTTGTTAGATGATTACCGGCGCAACGGACACATCTAGCAGGGTGGGCGCAATAACGTTTGGAATGGCCATATTCCTGGCAAATCATACATTGAATGATGTTTCGGCGCTTAAACGGTTCTTCTATTTTGATTTTAGTATGTAGTAATGATTTTAGTTGAAAAATTTCATGATTGATTTTGGCTGGTTCGAGATCTATGAAAAATATTGGCAGGTGTTGTTTTGTGATTTTATGTAATACGTTAGATACTTGTCGTACAGTAAAGCCGATTTCTTCGATGGCAATTCCTATTTCATTTGCATTGGTAGATGGATGAAGGTTTCGAATTACCACACAGAATGATTTATTTTCATGAAGATGGTATGTGTGATATTCAATTTGCCTTTCTTTAAAGTGACCAATTACTGCTCTAATTGAGTCGGAGTTATTTGTTTAAATTTTTAAATTTTTTACAGAACATTTAAAGAAAAAATTTTGGGATTTAATTAAATCTATCAGTTCTGTTTTTAATTCAATGAAATTGAAATTTCCACGGGCAAAAATTGGCGGTGATGATTGAGATTGTGTTATTTGTTCGTTATCGATATCTATATCATTGATTGTGGTGTCGTTGACATCATTAGTGGCAAGAGAAGCGTATTTGTTAGGAGAGGTAAAGGCAATTTTATTCTTTTTATTTATGCTTGGACTTGTTAAAGATAAATTACGTTTTGATTTGTTTGTTTTGGTTTGAAATTCAGAATCGTCAGATTGATTATTGAAAACGCCGCTTGAGTCACTTTGATTACGAGATGAATAAGTGGTGCTATTGCGGGTATCATTTGGTAATGATTTAGATATGTTTATTTTATTTACGTAAGTAGATGTATTTTTGTTAATATATCGGTTCATTACACACTTGTCATCTTATCGACAGCTGCCGATTTGCTCGTGCAGTCGATAGATAAAACTGTATAATTATTGTATAATTATCGCTATATATCTAATTAAAATTACCCAAATTTTCGAAATAGTCGGCTGGAGAATTTGTGAAACTCCAGCGTGTTATGAATCTGTATTCCGGTTTGATTTTGTGCATTTAACACTATAACTCACTATTTAAAATCGTAACATTTGTGGTTTTACGACAGAAAATAATAGACACTGAAGACGCACGTATGTTTTGGATCGAGTTCCGATTTATTATTTATACTACATATTTATTCAAAAACAATTTATTAAGGTACAATGTATATAGGCATTGAAAATTTTAAAATATAAAATTTAAAAAAATATATAAAAATAGGTATTTGTGGCTAAATTTTTTTGCCACGTTTTTTCAAAAAATCAAAATATAAATAAAAAAAAATAAAAATTGTCCCCTTTATTACTATCTTCTTCTTTTTCTTATGGTTTATTGGGCCTTTAAGACCATCCCGTCTCACAACCTTTATTACAATCAATAGTTTTGTGGGGGTCGACGTGTGTGGTTGATGTGAACCACTTACCACAAATGATTCACAGAAGGATAGTCGTAATAAGGTACACCAAGGCGGTGTTATATATGAAAATGTGTAGTAAAATAAATAAAGAACTCGACGGAGTAATAATTAACAAATAAATCGTTCGACGGAACAGAAATATGAAATAAGTATACAAAAAAGAACAAAATGGCGTAGTAGAGGGCGATACATGTAAAATAAAAGACGTCGGACTCGGTCGACGGATTGGTGGCGAGAGCGAGCAAAGCTCAACCGAGCGATCACACAGCGATGTACACATTCCAATAATATCGGACGATATTGGTGACAGTAATAATATTGGATCTATTTTGCACATTAGTCAAAATTATCGGTCCCATAAAAAATAAAAATAAAATTATTAAGGTTATTGGAATTGTATCCATCAGTAATATCTTACTATTTCTAGTGTTTAACAATTAAAAATGAATTCTAAAAAGAAAATCGCTCTCTCAGCTGTATTACACATTAAACAAAAACGTGAATTATTATCAAAAAAAAATGCAAGAGGACTTTTTGGGTGCACCCTATTTTAACAGCAAGATACGTAGAAGGTGCTTTTTATACATTATTTGAAAAACTTATTGATGATGAACGAAAATTTTTTAATTATTTCCGCATGAGCTTTTCTACTTTTACCTTAATACTAGACAAACTATCTGATGTCATTCGTCGAAATGATACACAAATGTGCTTATATGTTCCATCAAAAGAGATGTTAGCTGTAACACAGAGGTAAATATAAAATATCACTTATGACATTAATAAATTACCACAAATAATAATTTTTTTTTAATTCAAACTTTATAATATATGTATTATTTCAAACTATTTAATTAATTTAATTACAAAATCTATTATAAACTAAAAATAAAATTACTTCTTCTAATTTAACAAAAATTAAAATAAATTGTTTAATTTGTACCTTCGAAATTAGAAAAATACGATGAGCAATTTGCCTGTTCTGTCTGCATAGAATAAGTATTTCTTTGGGTGTCATAGTTAATTTGAGTTTCGGTCTGTGGATGATCTTAAGAAATTGCAGGTGTTGAGTTTTTCGAAAAACTTGAGTAATTAAAATTGGTCAGTGCTTGTGGATTTTGAAGTTTACGTCTTTTTATACTTTGAATAAGATTTAGTACTCCCAAACGAAATTCGAATTTGTCATCATCCGACATTTTTCTAACCATGCATCAGTTGCCATCGCGATGGCAAAACAGAACTAAAAAATGACTCATCTTCATCGGGAAGTTTTTCACTAGACTTTAAAACTTTAATAATTTCCCTTTCAGACTCATCATTAAGTTGACGTTTATTACATTCTAGTTTTTTTTTGGATTTATTTATTCTAGGAGATATTTCCTCTGTTAGATCATTTTCAGGTAAGGAATCGATATCTTTATCCCGGTGAAATACATAAGCGCCAAAATGAGATAAGAAAAAAAATCGTATCGTACGAAAGCGCCAAAATCGTAGGTACCTGTGAGCCTCGGTTAAATAACAGATATTAATTTGGACGGAAATTCCGGATAATGAGGTTATACGAACTACAAATGCAGCTGAATCATATCATCGACATTTAAAAGATCAATTTTATGTGGCTCATAATAATATACTCATTAATATAGTAATTGATGTATTATTAAAATTACAAAGCGGAACATATTTATTTATGAACTCTCCTCGTATCAATAAATTAAAAATATCTCACAAAGAAATAACTGTTAAATGGAAGAAATATCAGGATGGTGAAATAAATCGTACAGAATACGTGAAAAGAGTGGGATTAAAAAATCAATCAATTTAATAATATTAATATAATATATAAAATAATTTTTAAGATATAACAATTTTTAAATAACTACCTACTTATATAAAATATTAATTTTGGCGCTTATGTCATACAGCCCTTTATCCACGGTTAAATCATTTTCACTTATACTAGATTCCGTATCATCTTTTTGTATAACTTTTAAAAGAAACTTTAAATTTAAAAAAAAAAGCATCCCTTATATGTTGCCATTTAGTTAGGATCATATTTCCTATAAAAATAATATTTTCCATTTAATATTTCATAAATAACGATTTATTATTTTTAACTCAATCGGGTTTCCTATTTTTGAATTTATTTGATAAATATTAATATAATAATAAATTAGTTTTAATAATTTATATACTTCCATATTATACAGATATTTAGCTTCTGGAATTACGTTCATAGACCTACAATACAGTTTTAAACTAGGAATAAGCACTATCAGAAAGGTTGTCTGAGAAATTTGCTTTCAGCTGTAGAATATTTTTAAAAATGATTTTCTTCCAATGCCAGATAAAGATATGTGGAAATCTGTTGCAAATGGTTTCCAAAAAAATTCCCAATTTCCTCACTGCATAGATACAATTGATAGAAAACATATTCGGGTTCAAAAGTTTCCAAATATTGGGTCTATGAATCTTAACACAAAAATAATTTTTCTATTATACTGATGGCAATTGTCGATTCAAATTATAAATTTATATACGTCGATATTGGAACTTTTGGTAAAGATTTAGACTCTGCAATAATTAAAGAAACTATTTTTTGGAAACTTAGAACAAAAAAAGTTAAATATACCAGATGCTGAACCGATAATCACTACCTAATGATATTTTACTATACGTGCTAATAGGTGACGAAGCATTCGTATTGTCGGAACACTTACTCTTGCCATATGGAGGAAATAAATAAAAGTGTTGACAAACGTGTATTTAATTATCGCTTGACTCAAGCGAGGAGGTATGTAGAATGTGCATTCGACATATTAACAAATAAATGGAGGATTATGCACAGATCATTGAATGTTTCTAAAAAGTTTGCAAAAGATATTATATAAGCGTGTGTTGTTTTACTCAATATTGTTCGTCAAAATGATGGATTTTATTTTGAAGAACTCGTTATCAACGGAAATCAGGGGCTTATAGAATTGCAACATGTACCAGTTCGTAATAGAGGAGGCAGAAGTGCAAATAATGCACGTGACCAATAGGCGAAATATTTTACATGTCCAGCTGGACCTCTACCATAGCAAATTAACAAAATATAATAGAAGCATTCTTGAAACATTTATCTTAACATTCAATAAACACATTTTTAATAATATTAAAACTAAAAAAAATAATATTACCAATTTCTAGTTGTTCCTTAGGCATTTTATCTTTAAATTTTTTTCAAGATACATATACACTTCTCCCCATTGTTTTTTTTTTTTAGATTTTTGTCTTTATTGACTGTTTATTGACTCATTGACCGTTTTATCCCAAAGATATGGCCTTGATTCCACTAACTCAATCAGAGTCGGCACGTCGTTGGGAAAGTAACTAATTGGGATATTATTAAATTTATAATATTAATTTCTACATCAGTTGACATTATTCAATATCATATCATTAAAATTTAAGACTACAGACGCCCAAAGCAGTGAGTATTACTTACATTTTTAATATGTTTTTCAGGTATTATGTATAGTGTATAAAATACATACAATACAAATATATTTAAAACAGGGAGCTTAGGATTATGATCATGGTTAATAAATTATTTTGCCCCCCCAAAATTTTTTCTTAGTTACGCCACTGACATAATATATTTTTATGTTCAGTATAAATATGAAAAATGTTTACAAGTTTGTTGATTACAGGCTTTAAACCCTTTATATATACATACTCGAGCTATTTTATACAATAATTAGTGTTTTAGAAGTAAACTCTTCTAACTGCAATATCACAATGTATACCTATATTAAATCTATAATTCATATGGCTTTTGTTTCAGATTTTTAGTCTATTTTAATTTTTTTTTTTAGCACAATAATTATTTATAAAATCTATTAGTTTGTACAAAAAGATTAATGATAAATATTAGTTTGTCACAAACATACTTGGAATAAAAAATTGATAAACACAAATTAATATTTAAGTTTGTTTTTGTACAAATTCTGTGATTTTCATAAATCTCCATTTTTGAGGTATCTATTAGTTGGTTATTTATTCTAATATTAATTTTGATTATTTGTGAAGATCAATTATTATTAAATTGTTATTATTGTAGTACTAACGGTACTTTACTTAGATTCAATTACATTTATGATGTTGAATTTGTGTATTTAAATAATACAAAATGAATAGGAAATAAAAAAAATACAATTTTCTCAAGTATTAATTTGTTAACTTAACATTTGAATGATAGTCCTTGCACGTTGATATTTATTTGTCTGAGATAAATTTAATTCTTGTTCTTCATAATTTGAAGCAGAAAACTCTGCGATAATGTTGTTGGCACATTCAAGAATTAAATTACGGCTCTTACCTTCAATCGTTTGAAGGTATTCAACTAAAATCTCAAAATTCTCCTTGGATATCTAAAACAAAGTTAATATGATTTATTAATTTATACTTTTTCTTGAAATAATAATAATTAAGTTAAAATTTAATTCATAGATCTATATGTAAAATTATATGTAATTGAAAATGTCTGTAATAATACAGGTTAATAAAAAAAATGTTTTCTTAAATTTTTATAAAAACTTTAAAAACATGAGACTAAAATAATTATTTTATACATTAAACACTTACCAATGTTAAATCATAAGTATTTTTAATCAACCAAAGTTGATTAATTTTTTTAAACTTCCAATTACAGCGGTCATTTTTCCATTGAATTAAATATTCACAAGCACGTTCTTGTCTCGACATGCCATTAGCAAAGGCTATTCTTTCACATATTTTGGCATTTTTTAGTTTTTTTTTTTTCGCCTTCAACTTGCTTATATAATCCTTTTTTTTCTTTTTGTTCAAACTTAACTTTTTCATTTTACCAGCTGTAGATTTATCTCTACTAACTACATTATCTGCAAAAGTTACCTTCTTCTTTTTAGTAGGATCAACTTCATTATTTGTGTCAATAGATTTGCGTTTTTTTTTAATTTTCATTGATTCTCTTGTTTCATTTGTATCAATGTTTGTACAAAGACCAACATTTCCAAGCTTTAATGGTGTTTCAGTAGTTGTACTTTTTATTCCATCAATATCAAGTTTATGATAAGTATCGACTGATGTTTCAGTTATAATAGTTTTAATTTTGTCTTTTTTCCTTTTCATCGAAATAATTGGATTTTTTATGTTGAATTTCTTTTTTAAAACACCTTTAATGGACATTATGAAGTTAAGATTATAATTTTCATTAAACATGCATTATAATAAAAAAAAATTAATCTAAAATAAATAAGTTAAAAATTATTAGATTGTTCTATATTGATTTACATTAATAGATTCATAATGACTTAACTTTAAGACACTCTTAACAAACCGTGTTGACATGTTTTGAAACTTCAAACACTACTTTTAATTTTGATAACTATGATAACAATAGACTAGTATTGATAAGAAAATTTAGCACGTACAAATTGTACATCATCAAAACCATAGACATATTATGATATGGACTGCTAGTAGAGAGAGAAGTCAATAGTTAACATCAATAGAAAGAGACAAGACATAACTTAGGTATCATGGAAGATATGATATAATTTCATGGAGTCAAAAACACAGTTATCAATTTAAAATGGTTTTATCATAGACAAATAAATAATAATAATTATTATTTATAAATATTTGTATTCATTTATTTCATTTTATATATTTATTATTTTTCATTTTATATTAAGTCGAAGTAGAAAAAATGGTTTTCAAATGTTCATTAAAAACTTGCAGAGAAAGCACTCAAAAAACAGAAAACCTAAAAATGCATGGGTAAGTATTTATTTTAAAATTATTTACTAGGTATTTATCAAATAAAGTATATAAGATACAGTACCTACTTGATATTCTTAATTAAGAATCCACATAAAAAGTGTGAAAAATTTAATTTATACAACCTGTTTTTTACAGTATTCCTAGATCATTATGTATGATGGAGAAATGGGTGAAAGCTATTCAACAACACCAACCAGACTTTAATGCTACAACTCACTCTAAAATATGTAGCATGCATTTTTTAGAGTCTGATTATACTTTAAGTTTAGTTAATAATCAAAAAGTTTTAAAAAAAACTGCCATACCTAGCGTTTTTATGAACTGTAAGTATTTACATACCTATGTATTATTATTATTAGTTAGGTATATATTACAGTTTATTACTTAGAATATAAATTCAATTTGTAAATAAACATAAATTATATAATTTTATACTAGTTTCATCTATGATTGAAGTCATTGAAGTATATGAAGATAATAATATGGTTCTTAATATTGAATGTAAGTAATCATTATTTTATATTTTTACTATATTACAAATGTTTCAAACTTATCAAACATATGACAATTTCAGCTACTAGCTCAATGTCTCCAGAGTTAAGTTCATCAACTGCTCAAGAACTTACCATAGATACGCAGTGTAATTTAATAATTTTTTAATATTTAACTATATACTATGTGTTGTATTAATTAAATTTTATTTTATCAAATTGTCTTTAGTATTTGAGAAACATTTGCCAAGTAAACCTGCTTTAGACTCCACATTAAAGTTGTCTCAAAACATAACAAGTAAATAATATATACCTCAAAAATAATAATTACTTACTTTGTAGTTGTATAAATTGTATGATCTAACATTTTTATTTTAGCAGAAGTCAACATTGCAAATGAAAAATTGCCACCTCCTGCTGTTGAGTTAACTCCTGCATTTATAACTCCTCCTCAACCAAGGCATGTTCCATTTTTTTTTTTTTAATACATTTATTTTTGTTTTTATTTTCTGTTACTTTTAGGAAACGTAAGTATTATGTTGGGGATTTCAAAAGCATAGATGACTTAGAAAGTCCAAATAGTCGACGGAAATTATTATATGCTGCTAAAAAGTCCAGTGAAAAACATGTATCAACTATCAAAAAACTAAGAGTACAAAATTATAGTTTACAGCAAAAAATTTCAAATTTTGAACAGCTGATTGATCATCTTAAAAATGAAAATAAAATTAATGAAAATTGCTTTTCATTTCTGAAGGTATGAATAAATTCTTTGGTATTTATACTACAATGTGTATGTTTACTACTAATACTTGTGTTATGTATTTATGTTTGTATTTTCATTTTTGCAGGTATGAATAAATTCTTTGGTATTTATACTACAATGTGTATGTTTACTACTAATACTTGTGTTATGTATTTATGTTTGTATTTTCATTTTTGCAGGTATGAATAAATTCTTTGGTATTTATACTACAATGTGTATGTTTATTACTAATACTTGTGTTAAGTATTTATATTTGTATTCTAATTTGTTTTATTTAGCTTTTATTATTGGTAGATGAATTTAATGTGAATTTTACAATTAATAAAAAATTAGTTATATCAACAATTATTTCTTCTTTTTTAATTACATTTATAAATCTCTGTTTAGGAATGCCTACCAAATGCAGAAACTGCTCTCCTAAAAAGACAATTAAACCATGAATGTGGTGCATACTCCCCCGATTTACGTACGTTTGCCTTGACTTTACATTTTTATTCACCGAATGCCTACAACTTTGTACGAGAAACTTTTCAAAATTCCTTACCAGCTCCTAGCACCCTACGAAAGTGGTATTCATGTATTGATGGTAAACCAGGTTTTACGGCTGAAGCCCTGAATGCTGTTGAAATTAAATTAAAAGAAATGAAAAGTAAAGGAAAACAACTTATATGTGGACTAATAATAGATGAAATGCACATCAAAGAAAATGTAACGTACAAAGGAGATAGATTGATGGGGTATATAAATTATGGAACTGGCACTGATGGTTGTGATGGACTTCCCAAAGCTACTCAAGCTCTTGTTTTTATGCTTGTAGCTATAAACTCTAATTGGAAAGTACCAGTTGGTTACTTTCTTATAAATGGGATAGGGTCAACGGAAAAAGGTAACTTAGTGAATACATGTATTGAATTAGTGCACAAAATTGGAGTCCCAGTTAGAACTCTAACATTTGATGGAACGGTATCTAATTTTTCAATGGCAAAGTATTTAGGAGCTGATTTATCTATGCCTCATCCCAAACCTTTTTTTAAGCATGAATCTGGAATAGTAGTACATATTTTATTAGATGCTGCTCACATGCTTAAACTATGTCGAAATACATTGGGTGACTGGAAAACTTTATATGATGAGGGCATGAAACCTATAAAGTGGTCATTTTTTCAAAACTTGGTTTCTATACAGGAAGAAATTGGTCTTCATGTAGGAACAAAAATCCGTACCAGACATATTCAGTATCATAAAGAAAAAATGAAAGTGCGTTTAGCTGCTCAAACTTTCAGCTCAAGTGTAGCAAATGCACTAGAGTATTGTTCCAAAATATTAAATTTAAATATTTTTACAAATTGTAATGCGACAATTACATTTTGTAAAAATATAAACAATATATTTGACTTTTTAAACACTAGGAACTTCTTAAGTAAGTCACAGTACAAAAAACCTTTGAAACGAGAAAACAAAATTGACATATTTAATTTTATTGATGACTCCATTAAATACTTGCATTCATTACACTGTGAAATTGGTAAAGATAGTACAAAAACAATAATTCCTGTCATCAAATCCACTCGAAAAACTGGGTTCATTGGATTAATAATTTCATTACAAAGCATCAAAAATATGTTTATTGATACAGTTATAACAAAGGAATTAGATTTTTTATTAACGTATAAAATGAGCCAAGATCACCTTGAAATGTTTTTCTCTGCAATCCGTTCAAGAGGAGGTTTCAACAATAATCCCACTGCTTTACAATTTGAAAGTTCTTTTAAAAGACTATTAGTTCATACAGAAATAATGACATCATCTGGTGCAAATTGTATGGTGATGGATATGACAAAGATTTTGTGGGTCAGTAGTAGCACCTCAAAACCTGTTGAAAATTCCAATATTTATTTAGATATGCTATGTGCAGAAATAGAAGATGACGATATTCATTTCAATACAAACCAATTTAATGTTTTACAACAAGTCGTTGAAGATATTGTGGAGTATATAGCAGGGTTCATTGTCCGGAAACTTTCAAGGAAATTAATTTGTGACGAATGTACTGAAGTTTTGACTCGATTTAATACCGAAATTGGATCATTAATTAATATTAAATCCCGTGGAGGATTAATAAATCCATCAGTAGATGTTATCTATTTATGTAAAGTAGCTGAACGAATTTTTAACTCGTACAAAAATTTGATACCAACTAAACCAAATATTATCAACTATTTAATTATTAAAGCTTCTTCACAAATTAATCTAAAAAACATTTTTATAGTAATATCTGATCATTTTTTGAATCAAAATCCATTAGACAATCATTTACTAAAACTTACACATTTAATATTTAAGACTTATTTTAGAATTCGTGTGAATCACTTTACCCTGAGTGAGAGTCAGCCAAAAGAACGCATACGATCGTTTTTAACTAAGACTATTCATTTTAAAAATCAATAGATATATTTTAAAGTAGTCGGTCAAAATACAATAGCAGATTTTAAATTTATTATTTTCATATTATAATTATTATTAATTATTATTTTATTATTATAATTTACCTAACTATTTCATTTATTTTTATATTTTAATTTGATAACTTTATAATTCCGTGTTATTATTTTGTGACTTTTTTCTAGATTCATATCTTATATTTGTAATTGCTTTATAGGTACTCTATTTACATTTAAAAGAGCTAAGAAAATATTAAAAAAATTCTAAATTCTTTATTTAAAACATTGTATGTTGTATATTAAGTGGCATAAATATGACTATCATTAAATAAGCCGCGTTTGTTTGTTTATTATTCCATGATATTTCATTCTTTCTTACCTAAACTATGCTCTTTCTCTTTCTAACAATCTTGTTTCGATAAACTGATGGCAGGGTGTGGGGGAGGAGCAGTCCATATCATAATATGTCTATGATCAAAACACAGTAACCAATATTCTTATCAAAATTTACTTTTTTATATATTCTTAGATATCAAAACCTGCAGAATTTTTATATAACATCCTCTTTGGAAATAGTCAATTATTTCTTGAGTTAACTCACAGTACTTACAGTATTTTATTTTTAAAAACAATAACAAAACCCAGTATCTACATGAAATGTAACTACTGTTTTGAATTTGTTATGATTGAAATCAGCTGAAAATATATTTCAAGCATAGTGAAATTCAAATTCTCAACACAGTAACTATTAGCACCGATTTTTTAGTATTGGACAGATTTTAATAGAGAGCCAAAGACTTCTTACAAAAACAATTTTCGCAAGATATACATATGCCCCTAAAAATATTACTCAACATAGAGGAATTAATCTCAATAAAAAAAAGGAATTTTTGATAAACTCATTCCAGTTATGCCAGAAAATGGAAATTTCTTTCTAATTGAGCATTTAAATAGAAATTCAATAATATTTAGAGTAAATTAGTGTGAAATAGGCATTTTTTAAATTTTTTATTGTTTTGGAACTGTCATACGAGTTTGTGAAAACACTCCATAAAAAAATTTAAACATTTGCTATTTCAGTTAAGGGTGTATTTAGATTTTATTCTAGGAGTGATAAGGTGACTCGATTTTTCACTATGCCACTTCTTGGCGAATGATAAAATAGGATTAATGATTTTTCAGAATGTTTACATACATAATATAGATCTAGAGGGAGGACATTGCCCTATCAACCCTCTCAAATACGCCCTTAAATGGTCTTAATTTTTATTTAACAAATATTATTTACACTTATTGTGTTTAAAATTAAATGTGATAAAATTTTATAATTTCTTACATAAATTCCAAAACACAGTATCTACTATTACAGCTGAATGAAAGCTAAAAATACTAATTAGTCGATTTAATTTGAATTTTACGCATTTCCTTGATAACACTACGTAGTTTCAAATGACAAGTTTGAAGTTAAGATAGCGGCCGACGTACATTACAAAAATCACTTTCATATCGAATTATGAAAAATACAAATAAGTACTGGTGTTTTAACGATGTACAGCTGAACTGACCAACGATTAAATATTCAATGCTTATATTCGAAGTCAGATGACTTTTTAATAATTGGTCACACTGTAAATAATATCAAATATTCATAAAATTGATCATAGAACAATGATAAATAGTTGTTTTTGAAATTTAGGACATAACTTCAAAATTATCATTTTTATGATGTTCCTGTTTATATGAAATAAATTATAATATTTTGTCTAATATTTCACTCATTAATACATTTTAAAATGACTTTAAAATATTCAATATTACTACCCACATATAATGAAAAAGATAATTTACCAGTTATAGTATATCTAATTCACAAATACTTGGAAATTAGGTAATATATTTATTTATTTTTATTTAAAGTAATTTAGATTGAAATATTATAGTTATCAATTGATGTCAACATACATTTTTCTTATTTTAAATACCTATTTAACTTTAGTATATACGAAATAATTTGTGTAATTATTGAGAGAGTGTGTAGCCCTTCTTCAGAGCCTTTTTTTTTGTTATACAAGATTATTAGTTATAACCATTCAATTTCCAAATTAGAAATAGTTTGTAATACATTTTTAAAATAAAATAAAGAAATATATTTCTATTAAAAATTCTTCTGAAACAAATTTTTAAAAATAATGAATTCATTATAGCGAAATTAAGTACGAGATAATTATAATAGATGATGGTAGCCCAGATGGAACTTTAGAAGTTGCCAAACAACTTGAAACAATTTATGGAAAAGATAAAATTGTAAGTAATTAATTAAATTGTATTTTTGTTAATCCTGATCAATTCTGAAACTTTTTAGTTGCTCAGACCACGTGGGAAAAAACTTGGACTAGGCACTGCTTATATTCACGGGATAAAACATGCTACTGGAGATTTTATTGTTATAATGGATGCTGATTTGTCTCATCATGTAAGTTATAGGTTATTAAGTTTATAATAAATTGATATATTATATAATTGTTACATTATTTTATTATTTAGCCAAAATCTATTCCCGAGTTTATAAAAAAACAAACCGAACAAGATTATGATGTTATAACAGGATCCCGATATATAGGTAATGGAGGAGTGTCCGGTTGGGATTTCAAAAGAAAATTAGTAAGCTGTGGTGCTAATTTTATCAGCCAATTATTATTGAGACCCAAAGTATCTGATCTGACTGGGAGTTTTAGGTAATTTATAAACATAGCTTTAATAAAATATAAATATTTATTCAAATATTGTGTGTATAATTTACAAAAAATCTAGAATTTGTCTAAAAATTTACATTGTAAAGAGTACTTGTATTTTTGTACTTTATTAAATTTATTTTTTTTTTCAGATTATATAAAAAGCCAGTTTTAGAGAAATTGATAGAAACATGTGTATCAAAAGGTTATGTTTTTCAAATGGAGATGATGGTGCGTGCAAGACAACTGAATTATACAATTGGTGAAGTTCCAATAACATTTGTAGATAGAGTTTATGGAGAATCTAAATTAGGAGGATCAGAAATTGTACAGTTTGTTAAGGCTTTGTTATATTTATTTGCTACTACTTAGATATTTTTAATTACAAATAATAATTATATTAATGTGGTCCTTATTTATATTATAAAATGTATTTATTCAGTTTATTTGCTGTTAATATTTGTATAATAACATTGTTACTTAGGCCATTATGCTGTAAATCATATATTTTTCTTAATTTGTGTCTTATTATTATTATTATATATATATAATATATATAAGTATAAATAAATATAGCTTCCAGAGGTTCATGTTAAAAAATATAAAAATATTTGTTCTTTTTGTTACAACCATAAACAGGATAGTTCAGTAATATCTCAATAGAAATATTTCCTAAGAATACCCAAATAATTGCTATTTATTAATTGTTCAGAAATTAAAATAAAAGAATAAGAAATTTCCCTTTTATAACCGGCGTAAAAACACTTATTAAACAAAGTATTTAATATGATTCCTTTTATTGAACTGAACTTACTTAAAGTTACAACATAGTTAAAAAAAAAAACACGTTCATTTTTTGTATATCCTGTAATAAGGATAAAGTACTTTAACTCTCAAAGTTGCACAGTATTTGTACTAGAATCTTTATTGTATTTTTCATAATTTTACCAATTTGTTATTGTTTAAATGCCTGTGTAATAGGTGTAAGAAAAATTGAGGAAACCTATGTAATACAAACTGTGTAATTATATGAGAAACATTAAGTCATGTATAAGAAAAATGAGAAAAACACAAATATGTTTGTATTTATTTATTTATTATTGTTTATTAATTATTTAAATAATTCAAAATTATTTTTTAAAAAATTAATAGTTATTAATATTGTTTGATTTGATTTATAAACTATTTTTTTTTTTTTTTTATAATTACTATTAGATAACCTAGTTATCTACATATGTAGATACTTATATTTTCATTGTAAATACTAAATTTATTGAATACCTTTATTTATTTTTTACCACTTTATTACCTATTCAATAACTATTGTTAATAGTCCATTGAGTAGGTGGGTAGTAGGTTCTAAACTAAGATGGTCTGAACCACCATTTTTTAAACATCTCATCACCACTGTATAGCAAAGACTTAGTTTTATTATCAATTATCATCCTGTTAATATAAATATAATTTAGTTCAAAAATATTTTGTGTAAATAACACTTTAGAATGCAGAACCATAACTTAATTTACATATTTATTGAATTAAATTCAATTAGTAATTTTTCTATTGAATAAAAAATGCAATGGTGGTTGTCTTAACATACCACTAATCATAGAAGTTCCTTCACATTATTTGATTTTTTTATTAATTATAGAAATCACATTTTTTTTTTTTTGTGTAAGCTATCCGAGAACCAAAAATGAACAAAAGAATAAAATATAATGGAAAGATAAGAAGACAAAGTCTGGTGTGTACATAATGACAATAGTGTTTATTTTTTTGAAAGAGTAAAATAGAGGATAGTTGATATGATATGTACCATGTAGTCATGACTAGCAACAAAAAGCTCCTCAGAGTTGCATGCATGTGTTTATAGAAAGTATAGTAAGATGGACTAAAGATGGTTTTCTGTAAGGTATGACCTGTTTAAGATTTTAAATAGTGTACCATTAGATTTGGCCCTTATTTCATAAATTGTTTTCTGTGCGGATATAAAAAAAAAAACCCAGTTATTTATTAATTTATAAAATATGACATTTTCAAATGATGCACAACATTACAACTAATTTTCACTATTTTACTAGTATAAGAAAAATGAAGTTTAAAATTACCAATTGCAATAAATACTAGGTTGCTAAAGTTCTTCATTTTTATATTATAATTAAATTTTAATTATTTACACATGAATTTTTTTTAATCTAAAAAAAGTGTTTAGTTAAACCAATTATTTATGATCCAAAATGTTTAACAAAATAATGAAAATCAACTAAATTATGATAAAATGTTGACAAATGAAAAGTATCAAATTTTAAATTGTAAATAAGTTTGATATAAATTATAAGTTGTTTAAATTCATAATAATTAGCCTGGAGGCCAAAGTAGTTGACGGCCACCAAGAACATGTAAATGCAAATGGTAAACAGATTGAGCACCATCTTTTCCATTATTGACTATCAAGCGAAAACCACTATCCAATTTTTGTTCTTTAGCTACTTTGCTTGCAACCAACATTAAATGTCCAAGTAACTGAAAAAAAAAATGTATTAAAGTTTTTTCACAAAGTTTGTTTGTGTTTGTGACACAAACCACATTATTATATTAAATTTTCATAGATCTATTCTCAAAGATGGTGTTAACGTTTATCAATAATAAAATCATAAGCCTAGCCAATTAATACTATAAATGTTAGTATTACCATTGGATGAATGGGTTTATTCTACTGAATACAGTTAAATTTTTAAATATGTTTAAAATTATTTATTTTATTTTATATATAAACTTTTAAAATCATTATCAACACTTAATTTTTAATTAGCTAATTATCTCATTGACCTTGGAAATCATACTTTACAATAGGTACACGATGTTAAGTTACAAAAAAAAATTAATTTTGTCAAAGTTATATAATCATAAATCATTAATTGGGAAAAAATAATATTATCAACATTTATCTCTAACATAATAATAATAAAAAAATGTATTACTGTGATTCATCTTACATACATAAATTTCATATAAGATAAAAAAAAACATTTATTAAATTAAAAATTTAATTTTTATTTGATAATAAAAAATCATTTTTATGACTAGCCTAATATATCCTATTGCATTTTTAAGAGGTGAAAATATCATAATCAAAATCTTTGTAATCTTTTTTATTTAAATTATATCAGAGGCACATTTATGGGGAGGGAAGGACAAAAAGGGCGCCAAAATATTAAAGGCACTATGAAATTTGTTTTTGTTTTCATGCCTAGAGGCTAGTTATATTTTAAAAACAGTTCTTAAAGTTAAATTACTGAGTACATTCTAAATTAATAGAAACATTCTAATACACTTAAGTTAAAATTAAACAGACTTAAAATTATTCATTTGATAATCTTGATTGATTCTGCGTAGAATATAATAGCTTAGTCTGGTTGTTGAATTACAGACATGATTTCAAATTTTAACTTGTATTCTCTCAGATAGTTACTGTGACTGAGTAATGAAATATATGTAATATCTTAATTTAATGTTATCGTTTAATGTTTTTTTTTTTTTTATTGCAGAGAGAGGAGCCAGATGTTAAATAGCTCTGGATGACTTTTATCTAAATGCGGCATGGAATTACATTGTCTAAAAAAAAGGGAGAATATCTAATTAAACATAAATATTTAATGAATTTAATGACTACATAACTCTATACCAGTTCAGAAATAATAAAATAGTAAATATTTTTATTACACCAAAAATCTGATAAAAAACTAATAATTTTAATTATTATTTTGCATATGTCCGATGATTTACTTTTAGATTATATTCTTCTTTATTTATTATTAAAAGAAAAACCTTAAAATGTATACTATAAAAATAAATTACCGATTCATCTGAATCATCAGCAGCAGCTAACATTTCAATTGGTTTCCTGGGAATTACCAAAAAATGAACAGGTGCTTGAGGATTTAAGTCATGGAATGCCACACACTATAATAAAAAAAAGTAAATTTAATTCAGTTTAAAAATAAAATCAATAAATTATATTAGTAAGAATGTAACAAAAATAATAAATAGTTTTTAATAACATTAAAAAATAATAATTGGAGTGATTAGATAACATTTAAAATTACTATACAAAATACTTCCCAAATACATATTTTATAATATTAAGTGATGAACTCGTATTTTGCTACAGAAGATGGTATAAACACAAAAATATCATACAGTACAAATAGGTAAGTAATTTACCAATTATCTACTTTAATTCCTTTAAGAGTGACCACTTGTTGATTAGTTTAAAAGTTAAATTTGCCTATTGACACTTACTCTATCGTCTTCATAAATGAAATCGCATGGTATTTCCTTTCTGAGAATTTTACCAAAAATTGTATCACCACCAACAAAAGCGGTCGAGGCTTTTTCTACCTCGTCAGACATTTTAAATCTTGAAATCCAAAAGCAATTATGTGTGTTAGTCCGATACCCACACTTTGAAAAATTACCAATTTGTATGAGAGACACGAAGTTTAATAATTTCCGACTGTAAGTAAACATTAATAAGGGTTGATAAAATTTGTGGAAAAAATATTCTTATCAAAAATGAACGAAGACATGATATGTTATAACCACAGGTATAACTGTTCAGTTATTGATATGTATATATATCTTGTATATATAAAGTATATATATATATAGTATGTATAAAAATCTAGTCTTCATGGCTACCACCATTGATTATAGCATTGTACAGTAGTCACAGAATTATATTCTGTGGTAGAGTCTTGGTAATCCGAAAGTTTAAGGCCCGGTGCACATTTGCGTTATTTTAACGCGCGGCAACGCTGCGGCATCGCAAACGCGGCATGGAAAACCCAAAATTTAATTGCGTAATGCACACATCACAGCGGCAACGCTGCGGTGACGCGCGTCCGTCTGCGACAAAAACTTTGTCGCAAGTTGTTATCGCACCGCAGCGTCACCGCGCCTTCACTTGCGGTCGCTCAATTCATTGTATCATATTGGTCAGTGCACACTATCGTCATTTTGTACACAAGGTACGCAAAAATAATACGTTTTCTTTTATAAATTTCCATCGCTTGTGTCAAAATCCATACTGACAATATATGTAAATAATAATATATGTAAGTGAAAACTGCAAAACTGCACAAAAGAAAAGTGTTATGTTTTTGTTCCAACGTCGTACTGACCGTACGTATGTATGACGTTATGTATATAGGTATACATAACGTTATGTATATGTATATAGGTATGTATATTTGCCGCTAGGTGTGCATTGAATACGGAGTCATAGCCGCGGTGCCGCAGCGTTGCCGCGCGTTAAAATAACGCAAGTGTGCACCAGGCCTAAGAAATATCGCATCGCTGAGCTGCCACCAGTGTTGCCATAGAGTAAAACCAAAAAAAAGTAAATAGAAGATAAAAAAAGCTAGATGATGCTAGACTTTTTCAAAAAAGTTGGAATATTTTTTTTTTGCTTATAAAATATTTCATCTATTGGTGGATGATCAATACAAAATTATTTTAGGTATTTTTTTTTTTTATTATATATATAGTGTGTGGCTGCATAGACATAATATAATATATTTATTATATTATTTAACCCTATCCTTACCAATTTTGTAAAAAACCTATATACACAGTGCTCGACTTGGCAAAATTAAAGAAGAGGGATTCTATTTACTTTAAAAAAAAGAACCTCCCCAAAACTGGCTGAGCATTATGATTATAGCGTAATAATAGTAGGGGGACTATAAAATTTCTGAAAATTAGTTGGGGTACTCCGTCCCCCTGCGTCCCCTCATAAGCCGAACACTGTATATACGTATTACCATTGATTATAGAATAGATTATAGAATCTATTCTATAATCAATGGTATTACGCATGATAAAATAAATAATTAATTTTATCATGGTATTACGTATAAGAATCACTTGTTGCTAATTGCTACTTGCTTATAAATAAATTGTTCAATTTAAAATTGTATATCGCTTATTACTTAAACAGTGCTTAAAAACTTGAGAATATGGACCCTTCGTTGTTTGTTATCGTAAATCGAGATATTATACCAACTTTGACACATAGACTTTATATTATTATGCCTCGTTTACACGTGATGAGTACTCAGCCGTGTCACTCGTTATGTTGCTCGGTCTAGTACCGAAATTGACCGAATCAGCGTCAACACGTATTTTAATTGCTTGGCCGAGTGACACATAAGTTCACTACACGATCTACTCGGTTGGCGGTTTATACACGCCGAGTACAGTCAATTTTGGTAGTGGCGGTAGTCGCTCGGCCGAGTGAACCATCAGTATTAAATTAATATAAATAATTTAAATGTGGGAAATAATTAATCAAGTATGTAAAACAATAAATATAAAATCTTAAGTCAGCCGAGGAAAAAAATTCTGTTGTTCACCACCTAATTACCACATGCTGCTCATAAATACCTTATTTATATTTAACGTATGACAATTTAATTTTTTAGGAATTTACCAATAAAGATAAAAAATATTTTAAATATTTCCTTTGTTTGCTTATACTTACGCTTTGTATTATTATCATTAAATAAGTTATTTTGTATTTAAATTTCAGGTCCAGTGGTCTTCTGAACATAATTTATTAGACTGATGAATTACATCTAAATATGTATACTGATCTAGTGGTATTGATATTTTTACTATTGTTGATAACATTTATTCAGGTCGTTGGAGTGGTAGGTTTGCAGTCTGATGCTATGATCCTTATAATACAAAAAAAAAAAGTATAGAAGTGTGTAAATAAAATATTATATATATATATATATATAAATATAATAATATTAATATATAATATTAATATTAATATAATAATAGAAAACTTACAGGCACTTATACAAGAGAGAGTTTTAGGGGTTCAAATCTCCCACCCTTGTAATTCAGGAAAACTATTAAATGTTTTATAGAATAAAAGTGGTTTATATATTATGTAAGTATGAAAATATACAACCTTAACCCCGCCCCGCAAAAAAAATAAATATTTTATTTTTTGTACGCATCGGAATACGTATGTTTTCCAATTAAAAAATGTCCTGCTACCATAATAAATTTGAAAAGTAGCTCCAAACATAATTTCCCGTTGATTGGTTAATATGTATGTTACTTGTTTGACTTGAAGTTGACATGTAGTTTGAGTAAGTGAGTTGCTGACTGCACATACTTTAAAATCTTTAATGAGTGGTTCAAGTTTACCCTAAAAAATCACGTTTTTAATAAGTCTTCTGGCGAATATTCCGTGGTAATCTTTAAGAGAATATAGCTTATGCGTAGGGCTCGGGACTAGTTGAATTTGCATATTTTTATTGAATAGTCCAAACAATTGTCAAGTAAAACAAAAATTTGTTCCAAGTTGTAGCGAATTTAAAAACATCAAAAAATGCATATTTTCATAATATTACAATTTTTCGGAAACATGCATTTTTTTTATGATGAAAACATTTTTTATACATGTAATATCCTATATTAAGTACGACGTAGAATATTTCTCACAACATTGTGGATAATATGGACGCTTCTGTTTTTCATTTAAGAAAATAAAATAAAATAAGAATTTTATAAATAGAATGTTTCCGTGTATTATCGAAATAAACTATTATCGACTAACAACAAATAAAGATAAAATATTTCAATCTGCTATTGCTGTACCGTCCGCGCTCTGCATGTCAGTCACGCCATTCGTTTCTTGTGTTATTTTGTGCGCAATTGTTACCAGTATTGTATTTTTATTTTTTATCAAATTTCATTAAATATTTAATTTAATTTCGTCACAAAAATGCCTAAGAAATTTACATGTGTTTTAGTTAAAAAGTATATTACAGAATTTGGGTCAGATGTTTTTTCAGCATACTATAATGTGCTGTTTTGTAATTATTGTGAAACGAAAGTGAGCGTGGATAAAAGGTTTATTGTCACCCAACATCTTAAGACGGAAAAACAAATGGGCAGCTAAGGGTATTAAAAATCGCCCAGGTACAAGTAAAATGCACAACAATTTATAACGGACACAAGAAAAAAGTTTATATTTAGTCACAATCTTTATGAAGCTTTGATGTCAGCTAATATACCTTTGAATAAATTATCAAATCCATATTTTAAAGAATTTCTATCGAAGTGCACTGATAAAGATATTCATTCTGAGTCAACGTTACAAAAAGGTTATGTTGATGAAATTTATGAAAATAAAATTAAGGATAATGTTCAAAATAAATGTATTAGTGTATCAACAGATGAAATTACCGATGTCATAGGTAGATGATATGTAGCCAATGTTGTTATTGGCATTTTAAATGAAACTAGAAGTAGTATGATTTTTCTTTTACATTCCGAGTAGCTGGAAAAATGTAATCATTCCCAAAGGCGGACTGGGAAACAATCGACCCAGGGACAATAGTCAAAGTAACCAGACCTATTCTTGTTTATTCATACGATAAACGTATAAATGTAATTTTATACTTATATAAGTCACCTAAACTCAACTAATTATAACATTAATAAAATTTAAAATATATTTGTTTAACACTTTGATAAAAATTATTTCTTTAGATATAAAGACATACTTTTCTACACTTATTTCTACTGTAACATCTTAAAATATTTTTAAAAAGTTTCGAGCATTTTCCAACATAACTCAATTCTGTGGACTTAAACAAACTACCTCTGAATTATTTAAAAATGCTAGAGTTGTAATTATTGGATCTTATATAGAAATTATGCGATCAATCATGTCATAAGTTGAATTCCAATGGGTTGGACAATCTTGCTTTAGTTTTAAAAGAGGCAAACCAGTTTGTTATTGATGTTATTGAAAATTATGTAATTTTACTAAAGTGTGTGAACTCTTCTTAAAAAATTGAACTATTGCTTTAACTTTATATATTATGGGCTCAATAGAATTCAAACTTGATTGAACTACTAAATTGATCGAGTGAGCAAAACAAGATAAATATCGCTGCTTTAATATTTGCTGCATAGTCACTTACTACTCCAGTTAGTTTACAAGACGAATTCCAATCATCAACCCTATTTCTCAAGTACCGAGCCAAGTTGCTTGCTTATATGTATGTTTTTCATCAAAACTATTACAGCCAAGTAAATTGATGAAAGTTGTGTTTCATTTTTAGGATCAATAAAATGAGCTGTTACTGCTATGAAACTTTCATTATTGATAGACATCCAGCAAACAGACATAGTGCCGTTACATTGTTATTTTTTGTCTTTGACGCATTCAAGGGTCATTTCGTACATCTGTGGTAATAAATTCTGTGTTACGGTTTTTATAGATGGAATGGAATAGGATGGGCACATGTTAATCAACTTTCGGAACTCTTTATCCTCTACAATGCTAAAAGGGTGATATTCTTTTACAATCATCATTACTAATTGTTCATCAATCATTTTAGCCTTAGTCATTAGAATTGATCTTTGTATATAGTTATTTATAGATGCCTGCTGTTTAGAAATATGACTTAAATCTTTTTATACTGGTGCTGCAGTTAAATGATTGTTATGTGACATAGATGATGATGGTTATGAATCATTGAGTACCTCAAAATTTGGGATACACATCTTATAATTTAAAAAATATTGTAGTGTGATTATAATATAAAATTTATTTATTGAACATTTATTTTTTTAAATGTAAGTAATTAATAAAATAAACAATAGTCCTCAAAAATTATACAACAATTTTTTTCAGCCATATGGCTTCATTATTTAAATTTTATAAAATCTATATTTTTCTGATTATTAATACCAAGCTTTAAGTTTTAGAAACTAATTTTAAAAATACTGTAATTTTTTTTTTAATCTCATTTATATTCTATAGTATAGTATATATTATTTGAAAAATATTGCATTGTTACATTTGTATCATTAAAGAAAACGAATTTATGTTAATTTTTTTTTAATTTTAGCTTGAACAATCAATACTTCCAAGGACTATTACCAATTTTTTTATTTTAATGAACTTCACTTGAGTTTATAATTGTATAAAAAATTATGCTTTACATTAACTTTTATCTTAACTGAGTTAGTACAAAATTCAATTAATTATTAACTTTTAACTTAGCATTGGTTACATACTTAAATTTGACATCAGTTATCACATAGATTATAATTATAATTAACACTTAATTTTTTTTTATTGGTTTTGTATCAAATTTTTAAATTATAAGTGATACAATAAACTCCTAATAATTAAATCCTAATAATTCAAAATAGCTTATATAAAATATGGAATTTAAAACTATTAATTCATAAAATTATAAATTTTATAAATTTCTAAGAAAATAATTTAATTATTTTTATGTAATTTATAACACATCATTAAAATAAAAAATAATTGTTATCACTTTTTTTAAGATTTTTAAATAGTAGTCCAATCAATTTTAAAATAAACCCTTGAAACCGAAAATACTGGGAGTTTTTAGATATACACGTTTTATTCATATGACTCATGTAGGGTTTGACAAAATTGTATTTATCTTATCCGAGTTTGAAAAATAATTAACTTATCCTACCCTGATTTCATAGCTTTAATCAACTGTTGTATGTGGCATGTGCCACTAAAAAATATAGCGATAAATTCCATGAATGATGAACATGACATAATATCAGGAATCGGCCTACAACACTGTGACCCACCAATCACGGACCTATGTTATATTCCAAAATTTTCATCTGATATTACTCTTTCCCCAAAATGTGTTGAAGCAATTTTTAAAAACAAAAAATTAGATATAATTAATCAATACTGCTATTTCCAATGCGTTAAACAATATGATGACGACTCTATAATAATAAAACAAATAGGAATAAACACATACGCCATAACTAACCCGCGACCTACCTTAAGCATTATAAAAGAAATATTAAATACAACCAAAACAGAAGAATTTAAATTAAATTACAATCACCCAGGATTAATAAAAATAACTTTTCCGTGTAACTATGAACTATTAAGAAATGATATCGTTTTAATACCAAAAATGTACCCTTGCGAAACCAACAATTTAAATACATAATCAGTCAAAAGGGTATTACCAGTATCATGGACAAAAATTAAATCATTAAATATAAACCATACGAATACAAAAGAAAGTATATCTTTTTCAAACTTGACGGAAATCTTAAATCAAAATTGGATCGATGAAATTCCTAACTTTCACGTAACAAAACAAATACAAGACCCCGAAAAATACTTTAATGATATAATACTAAAGAAAATACCACAACCACTTATTGATGATTTCTTAGGTGACATAATTTATATTACATGGTTAACCATGCTTACCATAGTAATAGGGTTCATAGGGTATAAAATATACCCTGCTATTATTAAAATAGACATGTTAACCGTGCCCCCTCCTATTCCACAAAGATAATTATTCAAGTTAAACTATACAAATAATTAATACACTCATTTTTACTACACTTTAACAAAACAAACTTGGTTGAATAAAAATCACAATGTAAGACCAACTACAATATATGTTCGAACATCATAATATTACAATAAAATAATCTATATAATCTCTATAATACTTACTCAAAAAAAAAAAAAAAAAAAATCCATTTCTTACGACTAAAATCAATATTCATTAATCTAAGAAGCTACTGATGTGGTTTCACTTATTAAATCAATTTCACAAAATGTAAACAGTGAGATTTAAAAAAAAAAAAAAATGTAAAAATGTAAAATCTAACACTAAATCGATATCAAAACAAAGGCGTACACGACGTTCAACCAACACTTCACCAAGACTACTAAATATTAACATTCGCAGCCACAAGAGAATTCAATCTACACATACAACGAAGGAGATTAACAAAATAGAAAATTCAGCAATAACATAATAACATCCACACTTTTGTATTTTTTTTCTTATTACTCCGTCTACCGATCTCTTCTAATTTTTCCTCATCACCCTACATCCTTTCATAAAAATAACGATAATATATATATACATATGTATGTGTATGTATGTATGTATATTTATATGTAGTATACGCCTACCTTATAATTTCAAAGACCGCTCGATAGACAAAACTAAATAATCATTGTGTGACCACCACAAACAAGAAGATGAAAAAGAGACACAACAATTTAGTATTAAAATTATAAACATTAAATATAACAAATCTCTGATGACAATCAGCATAAAGCAACCACTTACCATATAAATGGACAAATAAAAAAAATGTAATTCCGGTCACAAAAATTATAGGTCTTGAAATATTATAAATTTTACCCAATCCCAAAAGTTTTCCTCTCAAAAATATATATGTCATTCCTATTTTCCTTTCCACACTCCAAAACACTAAAAATACGTAATACAACTAGTTATATTTATTTTTTTTTATTTTAGTATTATATAATTGTATACATTACATTGCATAGTTTTAAATTTAAAATATGAGGACATATTTTTTTTTTATAACATAAGGGAGTGTTGTATGTGGCATGTGCCACTAAAAAAAATAGACAAATATAACTTCTTAAATTGCGTAATGTTAGGCCAATGAAGCAAATAAGCTGAGGCAGCACCTTATAAAATAATATTTAAGGACAGAAACAAGACAGTTGGGGGACAGTGCTGGTCTCGACTGAGAGACGGTTGGATAGTGAGTTTTTTGATATCTGTAAAATTGTGTGTTTATATCATTTTTAATAAAATTTTTCTAAAATAGTGAACTTAATTGTTCATTGTTTTTTTCTTTGTATACCATCGAAAGATAGGTATACTACACAACCAATTTAAATATTTCACTTCGGTATTTCTTCGTAGTGACTGTTGGATGTTTTGTCTTCAAATGTCTCAATAAATTGCCGTTGAACCTCCAGTAAAACATTTTAACACAAAACAAATATTGCATTTCGCAACATTATTCTCAACAACAGTGAACTGATACCATACATTACTGCGTTTTTTATTCATTGAAGTGCAAGGTGTTGAAGACATAATTTTTATTGCTAATAAATATAACATTTTTTAGTTTTATTTTGCTTTATACTAAATTTAAATAAATACTTACATTGTGAATTTCAATGAAATTTTTTTATGTATTATAAATTTATAAAATTTGTAATATGGTATAAATTGTATGAAATATAAAAGAAATGTTTCAATATTGAATTATTTAAATGCACAAATCGAATATCAATAATGTAGATAGGTTCTATACATTCAACAGCTACTTGAATAGTGACTGGATTGGACAGGAAATTATTATTATTCATAAAAGGCAATATTTTTGGATATAACATGTATAAATATTATGACAAGTTTGTTAGTTTTTTTTGTTTTTATAGGTATAATACATTTCTGTTTATGAACATGACCTGATAGGATTATTTTTATAGTTTAAATATTCAATAATTTGATAAATTTAGTGCATTGATTGGTAATTGTATTATATTTAGTGACAACTACTACTTCTCAAACATTTATATTAAAAAAATTATAAATAATATAGATAGTAAATAAATTATATCAAGTAATTTACACACAAATCTTTTTGTTCTAAATCTATTATTTTAATACTATGACGCATTATATCCTTATTATATTATGATGCATTATATCTTTAAAACTATTATTAATTAATTTTATTAGTAATTTATTCATAGTTTTGTTATTTTATATCGAACCCATAACATTTCGCCTTTTCAAAGTATAGTTTACTATATAGATATACGTCTACAGCAGTAATTAACAATAATAACATAATTAATATATATATATATATGTATATGTATAATATTATTATTACATTAGGTATAGTTTACATTTTCACAATCTATTAACGTAAATATGACTCGTATAATTATATTGTACAGTATATACACCAATTGATTATGATTCAATAATATTTTTAATGTGTCGTTCGCGAATTAATGTATTGAACGGGTCATATGAACCTGACCCGTTTTTCCCATCTCTACATATGAGTAAATTGAATCGAATATCCGAACGAGTCTATTTTACTGGATCTTTTAAATGACCTGTTTTGCTCATCTCTACAGTTAGACACACTGCGCCGTCATCTGTGCAGCGTGCAGTGGAAGTGGAATCCACTGTTCGGACTATAGATATTGCCGCCCGCCTGTTGTTCGTGACGTCAATTCATGGAAGAACGGACGGCGCATGGTATGCCGGGAGAAACGATGCTTTTCCGGTATCGACGGAACGGGAAAGGAAACACGAAGGGACGAGGGAAAACGCTTTACAGTCCCAGGGCTACCGTGGACTGATCCGCGGTCTCGGCGCCCGAACGGTTTCGATTTTCGATTTGAACATAAGCCCGCTGTTTTCTCCGCCATGAAATTCATGATGAGCCCAGCGTTGATTGGCTACCCGCAATCGGGGTATCGCTCTCGCAGGCGGCTCCTGTGGTCAAGTTTACAGGTTATAAGTGATTTTCCAGTCTTGGAAATTATGTGGAATCCCCTACGTTTCTCCGGGCACTTCCGTGTTTGATTTTTATTATTTGAAATTATTATATTATTTTATTTTTCGTCCTTTACTTTCTATATTACTTACGTTTTTGTGTGTGTTTGTGTTTTGTATTCATTGTTTTTTTTTTTTTACTTTTATATACATGCGCGATTTAGGCCGATTAATTAACACTTCACCATCGTCGTTTCTGCTACTGGCCCGAATTCAAAGTGAGTAAATCGATTGCACATTATTTTTATATATTTACACATACATGCTGACTTCGACAGTTTCGTGCATATTGCTATAATAATAATAATAATAATTGGATGGTGCTCCGTTAAATGTACAGTAATAAGATGGCTTTCTTGTTCGGTGCGAGATCGGTACTCGCGACACTGTGGGTGTTCACGATCGACCTTCAACAATAGAATTTCACCAATAATAGAATAACAAACTTTGAGTAGAATAGTGTCGTCCATTTAGTTAACTGTCGCCGTCGGCAGACGCGCGTAAGAAACGGACAGACATGGTTCTCTTAGTGCCAAAAAGTACCCGAGCGCTGCGCGCTCCGAACGGGAGCCCGCCGTACGATGGCACTATAACCTTGCGCGGTTCCTGTTAATAATTTGATAGTAATGCCTCGGGGAATGGACTCGAGGATATACAACGTATATTTTAATTCCAACGGCCTCCGGATCGTAATTGACTTGAAATTCTCAATCACCAAATGGTGCCTAACTCGACTTGTGTAAATTCGCATGTGTTGCCGCGATCGTATCGGCGAACACTCGTGTACACTAATAATAATTAGTCAATATATCGTTTTGCCTATTTGAGTTATCCCCGCCAAACAACTATTTTCTCTAAATTTCATACCATTCAGTCTGAACTGACTACCCATGGTATAGTTAAAACTTAAACTTTTGCTATAGTGTGTTGCCTTCTGTGCTAATCTTATATTTTTATAACAATAACATACAATATAATAATGAGTTTCAATAGTTAAATATATTTTTAATCAAATTTTGGTTTTAAATTGGTAGTTAGAATAGAAAATATTTATAAATCTTTGAATTATAAAAAATAAAATATATATATTTATATTCATAACTATATTATTTTATATTTAGGTGAGGTCGAAAACTTAGGATCATTTGTACAAAAGGATGGGGGCTTTGACATGGATGTAAAACATAGGAATAAGTGCAATTGGATGAAATGGAAAGAAGCAGTATTTTATGTAATAAGAGAATTCCAATGAGGCTGAAAGGTAAATTCTACAGGAGTGTAGTAAAACCAACTATGCTATATGGTTCGGAGTGTTGGGCGGTTAATAGGAGAATAGAACAAAATATGAGTGATGCGGAAATGAAAATGCTTTGATGGATGAGTGGAGTGACAAGAAAAAATAAGGAACAAATATTTGAGAGGAAGTATTGGTATAGTGGATAAGATGATGGAAAATAGACTGATATAGTTTGGGCGTGTGATGAGGCGAGAGGAAACAAAAATAGTAAGAGTGGTTATGAAAATTAAAGTTGAAGGGAAAAGAGGAAGAGGAAAACCAAAAAAGAGATGGTTGGATACGATTGAGTATGATACGAGAGCTGTTGGTGTGTGTGTAAAGGGTGTAGTAAATCAAAATGAGTAGAGGTTTAGGACAAGGGTGGCCAACCTCAAATAGTTGGGGGAAAGGCGAGGAAAAAGTATATTATTTTATACCATTTAATTTTCATGTTTAGTTATAATATTGTAAGCAAACAAGCATTAATTGTTACAAAAAGTTAATAATTATCTGATTTCTGTATCTATATGTATTCTATTAATTTCTCTATATGTTATTGGTAATGAGCACTAATTGTAAAAATGGCTAATGTTATTATACATTAATGCATATTATGATTTGACTGCATCATTTTTTTATTTGAAATATGTTCATATATTTTGCATAACATTGATTATTATTTTCTTAATTTTTTTATTTCATATAGATAATTAAACTAACCGTATGATGAGTTGGAATTATAATGCCAGCCGCAAGCAATCAAATAGGTTCAGCTTTGTTTCAGTCACTTTCTAACAAAGTTACTGATCGACGGAATCACCATACAACTGTGGCAGACGACCGTTCCAGTTATTTGTATATAGCATCTAGTAAAATTTTGGATAAAACCATTGATTTTGAAATGTTAGACCACAAACCATCAATGTTATCTCAAATGAAAAACAATTGTATAATGTTACTTCAAAATGGATGTAGCAAAAAAGATATGATTCAAAAAAAAGATAGAATAAATGGTGAGATCAATAAAATATCTCATTTACCTAAACCTAAAGTTGTATTATATCCTCCTGAATGTGTACAACTTGGTTGGCAAGATAAAAAAATGTCAGTTGGTTCTGGATTAGATAATCCTGGTGTAATATGTTACATCAATTCTACATTACAGGTATATACAAAACTTTTTTTTAATTTAGTATAATTTGTTTTAATTTGATTTTTTTTAGGCATTATTTCATATTCCTGCTTTTACTAATTGGCTAACTAATGATGAACAACATAAAAAAACTTGTCAACAAAAAAGTAAGTATCTATATAATTATTATTATATTATTTGTAATATTAATATAATTTAACACATGGTTTTTGAATGATTTTTATTTTAAATGTAATATTTTTTTATCAAATGGTTTTAAATTCATAAAATATTATTGAGTTGAAATTGCAAAAATTTAAAAAAACAATTATTTGTTATATAAAACAATCTGAAGTACTATTTGGGAAATTGAACTTTTGGTTTGATCAAACTAATAAAAGTCATTTTTTTTACATTGACTAAAATAGTAAAATAGTATACTTGTACAAATATTAATTACAGTAGAAACTTGATCAACCATCAATGACGGGACCGAGACTGATGGTTAATCGAATAGGCGGTTAACAGAAATTTTGCAATAAACGTATATATTTTACAATGTGTGTATTTTCAGAAAAAAATAATACAGATGTAAACTACATATTACAATACTAAATACTACTAAACTAAAACTAACAATTTTAAACAGAATAATCATTTTAATTTCTTTTTTAATTTTCTCTTGTTTTTTTTTGATGCTCGAACTTTTTTAGCAGCAAATTTTGTATTTTATATAGCTGTAAAACCGGGTTACTCGTCAATTACTGATTAAATTAAATTTAAAGTAATTCAATTTGTTCGTTCACGTCATGTATTTTGCATATGTTGGATATTAGAAAAAAAAATTGGTATACGCTTGATGGTCCACGTAACGAGTTTATTGCAATTGCCTCATTAACAATAGCAATGACAGATAACAGAGAGTGACAGTTAATCAAGTTTCTGCTGTATTCTAATTTTTTGGAACTTGCAACTGTAAAATAAATTTTATATATTATTATTTATTGTTTGAATTTGAAAACAATGTGTAATAATTATTTTTTTGGTATTTTAGCTGGATTCCAGAAAGATTGTATAGTGTGTATGGTTAGTGATACATTTATACTATCCCAAAAACACACAGGTTCTAGTTTTAAAGCTTCAATTATTACTAGTCGTCTATCTTGTAAGTAAATGCTGTTTACTAAAATTTATATTAAAACAAAAAAATAGATTTTTAATTATAATTTGTAGTAATATGTAAACACTTATCAACATATCGTCAAGAAGATGCACATGAGTTCCTTCGATACCTAATTGAAAGTATGGAACGCTGCTATTTGTCCGTTTTAGGACATGCTGCTAAATCGTATGTTACTGGTTTTTATTAAATATGGATTATAACAAAAAAAATAAAATATTTTTACTATATTATGAATTTGTTTTAATATATTTAGCCTAGACAATTATTCTAAAGAAACAACACCCATAAACCAAATATTTGGTGGTTACATTCGAACTGAAGGTATGTTTCCCCTAACTTGTTTATATAAACATGTTTACAAAAATATCAACCATGCCAATAATTAAATATATTTTTATGTTATAGTAACATGTGGCAAATGTGGGTATATTTCTACTACGTTTCAACATTTTCAAGATCTCATTTTAGATATAAGGCAGTCTGATACTGTAAATGACGCTTTAGATAATTATTTTGAAAAAGAACCATTAGATGAATCATATGTATGTGAAAGGTGTAGACGGCAAGTTGTTGCTGATAAAAAGTTTTCAGTTGAACGAGCACCAAATGTATTATGTATACAGTTAAAAAGGTGAGAATCGTTATTTAATGAAAATAAGGCTTTTTTTCTTCGTATAATTACTAATCATAAAACGTGTTAATTTGTGTTTTAGGTATAGTGTTGGTATGGGTGGGTTTAGTGGTAATAAAAACAGTAAAGCTATACAAATAAATGAACGGTTAGATTTATCAAATTACCAATTTGATCATCACAAATTTAAAACTGATGCTAGACCTCTGAGATACCATTTAGTATCAATGGTTATTCATTATGGTTCAAGTTTGAATAGTGGTCATTATACAGCTCTTGGCCTTACTCCTTCTGGATCATATTATTATTTCAATGATTCCAATGTACGTTTTTATTTTTATATATATATATTTTGTTTTGTTATTTAAGTGTATGAATTATTTTTTTATTAAATTATTTTAAGGTTTATCAAACAAATTTTAAAAACTACTCCACAAGTAATGATTCATATATGATATTTTATGAACTGGAATCTTTAGAAAATACAAATAATACAAATATAGAATATAAGGCTTCAACTGTAACATCTTCCAGCTGTAAAACTACCAATGGATTTTTTTCAAGTATTATTTAATTGTAAATTTATTTACTTTTTGAAATTATTAATTATACATGTATATATTTAGACAAAAACAATGGTGTTACAAAACAATCAAATGGTGTTGCAAAACCATTAAATGGTTTAACAAAACCCTTGAATGGTATCAACAATATTAAAAAAATTAATGGCAAAGAAAAAAAAGGAAATATTTATGAAAAATGGGACTCAAATATAAAACAGTATGTTAATTGCAGTATACTTCATCTCTTGATAATTTTAATTTTAACTCTATTCTTTATACTCTACTTTTACTATGTTTTAAAATTCTTATAATATTACATTTGTTTTAATTTCAGATTAAAACAAGGACAACAAAAAGAGAAATCAGTAACTGAAACATCCTGGAATTCTACTAATAAAACTGTAGAACCTTCTACTAATGGTGTTAAATCATTATCAATGTCCAATAGTTTAGTACCATATATTGATTCTGACAAAGATGGTAGTGATGTAGATAGCAGTTCATTATCTGGAGAAGAAACTATTCCCATAACATTAGGAAAAATAAAGTATACAACTGACCAGAAAGTTCCAGATAAAAAACCATTAGTGATGAGACCAAAAGAAGATCTCACTGAACAAAATTCTAAAGAAACACCAGCTAAAAAATGTTTGGTATTAAAACCACAAAATGATGATTCTCCAATCAATGACAAAGAGATAGGTATTCTTCCAAACAAAAAATGTTTGGTATTGAAGCCTAAAGATGATGAGTCACCAGAAGTTAAAACTGAATATGAGCCGGTCAAAAAATGTTTAGTCCGTTTTCCAAAAGATGATAAAGAATTTAATGCTTCTAAAGTATTTAGTTCAGCCGAAGGAAAAGATTTAGAGAGAAAAAATCGACGCTGTGAAAATGGTGTTTCAGAATCTGACAAGTCAATAATCCGACTTGAACATAACAATTATAATGGGTCAGTTATTAATTAATTGAATTAATTCAAAATTATATCAATAAACATTGTATTAATTAATTCATTAAAGTAAATATAAGTAAATATTATTTTTATATTTCATAGAATGAAGTCACCTACTGAGAGCAAGACAAATGGGAAACTATTAAATGGGAATGGTTTTACCGAAGAAAGAACTTGGTGAGTTTTATTCTTATATTAATTTTAAATTGGCATATAATACAATTTTTAAATGGACTCATATATATTAAAATTCAATAATAAAATTTAAGTTTTTTTTTTATATTAGGAATAAGTTATCAAATGGAAATAACCATAAGCACTCAAATGGAACGAAAAACTGGTAAGTTTCATTGTTAAACATTTTCTGTATATTTTTTATCTGAATAATGATTGAATTTACTTCATTTTTTTTTTTTTAGGCCTAAGTTTAACCATGAGTTTCAATCCATTGGTAATATTAAATTAACTGGTAATTTTAAAGAAAGTATGAAGTCTAGAACACATTTGGGTTTCGGCGGAGAAGGTGAATATGAATATTTAATTTTTTATTTTATTTATTTTAGTTCATATTTAGTTAACTATGAGAACTGAAGCCATTATAAGTGGTTAGGTTGAGTATAATACTGTTATATTTCTATGAAAATATATGTGCAATCAACATGTTTAAACTAAATTATATAGCTTAAGCATTTGTTAATCAATAAATTAAATTCTTCTGTTCTTGTTTTATTTATTTCTATTTTTTCTATTTATGAAATTATATTGTCACATTTGATTCGAGTACATTTATAATTAAACCAATTTTTTCCAACTTGAAAAATAGTAAGTACTATCATGTTTGTACGTTTTATTTGGGTTATAGATATTATATTAATAAAATTATACTTCTAATAATGACACATATATCTATTACTTTACTGTTAACTATTTGATGACAAACATCTTATCACCACCCACCTCTGAAGAAGTACCTTTGAAGTAATTTATAGTAAATTAAGATCAATATAGTTTTCATTTTTCATTGTTTCAACTAATTAAACATATTTTTTGATTAAAAATTAATTTTTGAGTAAAATCATTCTTTATTACACAATGAAAAATGTATCAAAATTTCTGTTAAATATTGATGGCTTGATATCACCACCCATCTCTGAAGTTTTTAAGTTATATGTATGTATGTAAATAAAGATGACAGTAGACAGTTAATTTTTATTTTTATTTGATCAATTATAAAAATATGTAAAAAGAATATTATAATTCCTTACTATAATATAGTTAATGTTTATGATGTTAACAAAATAAATTTGAGTTAGTTTTTGAGCTATTGTTTTCATTTTTATTATTTTGTTTATATTTAATTAGTTTGATGTTTACTATATGTTTAATATCCTAGATTTATTTAACATTTCTAGACTCAATCTAAATCTTCCTGTATTGGCTTCAGTTTATAACTTATTGTAGTTTCACAAATATTCGTTCCTTATACCTATATAAATTTTGAGTTTTAGGGTTTGGGGCTGAACCTTACATTATCAAGTATGTATTTATAGACGCTTATGAAAAGTGTAAACTGGTCGAGCCAGTGAATTGTACATGCATAATAAATGCTTATTATATCTTCAGGTCGACTTCACTACACTTTTTTAAGCGTCTTATTGTACTCAATGATCGCCTACTACAGGTGGCCCTGGATCCGCTAAGGGAAAATACTGTCATTCAACACAAATTGGTCAAGGCAAAATATTTCTAACAAAATGAATCTTTATGTTTGATATTTCACTGTGTTTAAAAAATATTTTAATCAGTACAGTAGTATTGTGTCAAATTCTTGTCAATCCTTGTTCCTTATATTAAAGTATATGTAAATATATCTTAAATTTGAAATATGAGAAATACTTAATTGTACACCTAAAGTTCTTTATGATTGTATATTTTCAATATTATTCCTGATCTTGCATCTGAATGACAAATTTCTATTTAAACATATTATAATCAAATTTTGTTGAGTATGAACAACGGTAATTAATTTTCAGAAAATTCAAATGTAATAAAATCATTTAATTTATAATTAATTAATTGTATGTTTATTTATGTTTTTAGTTAAAACTTGGAATGGTGAAAAAAGCTTTTTAGATCGAGAAGCTGAACAAGATAAAATCAATGGAGTTAAACGGTCTTTTGATGATGATTACAATGAAGATTTTGATAGAGGAGTTGTGAGTATTTGATATTACTTACAGTGAATTAAGTATAATCCTAAATAAAGATTAATTTTCAATATGGTTGAAAATTATTTTACTATATTATTCAATGTTTCATTATATCTTTGAAGTATTTTTTTAATTTCTTAAGTGTATTATTCAATTATTTTTTTTAAGGTTTTATAGTTTTATTTTATAATTTATTTTTATTCTACAAAATATCTAAAAAAAATATAAGCATAATTCATAAAAATCATAAGTATTTTATTAATGTTTTAGGTTAAAAAGAAAAAGTTTGATAAGAACAACCATGGTATTAAAGATAATGGATCAAATGCTTTACAAATGTTACACAATCAATTAAATCAATTTAATGGTAAAATGGGGCGAAGTAAAATCACTTGGATGAATAGGTCCAAAAATTATAGATCGTATAATAATGGATATCGTCACAATGGAAATGGTGGAAGTGGAGGATACAAGAAACCCAGGTATAATAATAATCGACGTCATTGGCCTAAACAACGTTAAATATTTTGTTTTTGAATGTTGTAAAAAAAAAAATTGTACATTACTTATATGACACTACATTTATACATAAATTATCAAAAATGTATTAAAAGAAAATTTGGAGAGAAAAAACCATAATAAATGCAAGTGAACTAGTTTCACCAATAGGTTAATATAAATTTCATTGCCAATATGCCTTTTTATCAGTTTAACTGAAGAGAATATTCTAGTCTGACAATTTCAGCATTGTTTATACTTTTCTATTATTGGATCTTATAATAAAATAACAATATTGTTATTTACATTATTTTTGTATCTTTGTTACCTAGTTAATTATTAAGTATTATTGATAATTGTTTAAAATACTTGGCTATTATGAATTAAAATTATTGATTTACAATGATTAAATTTGATTTTTTTTTTTTTTTAATAATTGGTTTTGAGATGTGTACTAATCATCTGTTACTTTTAAAAGTTTTTAAAAAAAAACTTGAACTTTAAAACTTTTTAAGATCGTAATTTTATATTTCCAGTCATCTACATTCTGATAATCCCTGTACTTATGATTTTCATCTAAACATCTTAAACCATTTAGTTGGTTGTTAATATTTAGGTTTCAGCTAGTTTTAGCTATTTTTAAAATAGTTTCATTTGTCTTGAATTATGATGAAATTGAGCTTTTGTTAATTTTTTATTTGTAATGTAAACTAAATAAATTATTAGGTGTATTTTTTTCTAACTATTATTTGATTAATTAAGTATTAATTTGAATTAGGTAGTAACTTGAGTATTTTAATAATTGAAAAAAGCATTTAACATTTTTTAATGTTTTGTTGAATTATATTATTTTTAGTTATATTTACTTAATCAATTATGTATATAAATAGGGATGGGGTTTAGATTAGTTATTACTTGGACATTTTTTTTTTTTTTTTTTTTTGTTAAACTTTTTTAAGTAAGAAAGAAAAAATATTGTTAATCAAATGTACTTGTATGCTGAAACTGTTGCTGATGTTTAAAACCACCAATTAGCGCATACTTAAAATTACATAATAGTTTATGATCCGTATATAAAATCATGTGCACGCGTTGTTAGTATGACTACTTGTAATTTTTTTAAATTTCTAAGTTTATAGGCTCTACTGAAGCGCCTGTTGTAATAACAATGTTTGTACTCCGATTTTCACGGTCGGTTCCTAACTTCAAAACATCCAGACTTCAGTGTTGTTATTATTACTATTTTTTTTTTTTTTTATAAGTATAATTTCTTCAAAAGATCCATTAGCAAAGTTAACAAATTGTTTTAAATTTCCTGAATAATATAAATATTAATTTTTCTTGTATATAGAAAATATGTAATTACAATGTTAGATTGCTATTCAAAATTTCTTTGTTGAAATCCTAAACAAATTTGTATTTTTTTTTATCTCACTCATTTATTTTTTTCTATCAACATCTTGAAAAAAACATGTGTTCATATATTAATGTATATCACAAACATACATTTTGTATTGGACATATTTTGTTAGTGTATTATATAGATATTTCAACAAAGGAAAATTTACCAATATTTTATATATCTATCTAAAATACATTCACACATTTGTAATTGTAAACTTGGTTATAAAATATAACTAAATGTAAATAAACACCCATGTATGATTTGTAAATAATGTACTGTTTTACATTTTATTTTACTATTATTATTTTTAAATTATCTGTATTTATTTAAAATATAGATGGACAAATATTATATGTGTATGAATTGAAAACAAAAATAAACAATAATTATGTATGTCAATTTGAAACTTTGATGTAATTTTATTCATTTAGGACAGTGGTTCTCAAACTGGGGGCGTCCCCCTAGGGAGGCGTGACAATATTTCAAGGGGGGCGTGAAAATTTAAAAAAAACACGAAAAATGAAAATGCTGTTTTTTATGCCGTGTCTAGTCGCTGTGTTGGTCGCCGTCGTTTTCGATTTTTTTTATGCAAATAAATTAATTTTATATTAAAAAAACTTCATTGAAGTTGTATTCTTATTAATCCAATAACCAACATTAAAGTATAGTTAACATATAAATATTATACATACATCAATCTTATAGTAGTGAGAGGGTGGAGCGTAAACTCATTAAAGGGAGCGCGGACAAAAGGTTAAGAACCTATGATTTAGGACGTGTGTAAAATGCAGGTTGGTATAATAACTTTAATTATGGTTACTAATAAAAAAAAAAAAAGTGCAATTATTAAAATTACTTTGTAGAGTACCTATTTATTTTTGGCCTTCAAATAATAGTTTAATCTAGTTAAATTATAGTTCAGAGACAAATTCTATTTTTCCTTCTTGATGATATCATTCAATAAAAAAAAATATTTATAAACTTTCTGTCAAAGTTGTACAACTGTAGTGGTTTGAGTTACTTTAGCGACATAGCATCCAATTTATTATTTGCAATATTATTGTTCTTATTTTTCTAATTTTACTTTCTAAATGGGTTACGTTGAATCACTTCTGCAAAAACTTACCGAAAATGAAATGTATTGTATTGTTTAAAACCTATGTTTGATTTTTTTTACTACTAATACCTTGTCATTGGCAAGTTGTTCCATGATAATTAAATAATTTAAGTAATTATTTGTTCATAACAATTCTTTTATTCACATTATGAAAATAAGTAGCTAGTGTCCGTCCATGATATTTTGGAAATATATGCTGGTGAAGAAAATTGTAAACATGTAATTCGTTATGGGGGATGGCTTTTGTTGGCATTTCTACAAACTGCCAAAGTTTTACCCAAAGGGAATTAAATGTTAAATTTTTCATATTCTAGTAATTAAATCTATACTTTTAAAAAATTTATTAGATCATTCGAATATCTGCAGGTACTCGGAAAATCTGTACAATAACCTTAATTGCACTTCGGAAAATTAAATAAAAGAAATTGTACATCAACATACGAGTATAATTGGATTTGAATTAAACGTCTTCGTCGTTGGTATAGACGTATCGGTTTAAAAACATTAACTAATTATCAAATCCCATTATGTTTTTAATTTTTATAGTGATTAAACATTTTATAAATAACTGACTATTATTCTTCGTTATTTTGTAACAGAGTTCGACGGAGTTTTTTTATAAGTTTTATTAGTTTATTATATCATAGATTAATATATTATATTTTATATATTAAATTTATGATTATATATACTAGTTTGATGAAAAACTTGTACTTTACACATACTCGTATAATTAATTTGATTTATTTTTACAAATAAATTTTTTTTTTGTATTACAATCATATCTTTTAAAATATGTCTATTTGTGGTTGTATTTAGAGCGTCGTACCTAAGGACAACGACAAAAGTAAGAAAAACGTAAGGTCGGATATAAAAAGCATTTAACATTTTTAATTGTAACTTAAAGACAGATTTACACGTAGAGATGTTATTGAAAATATATTGTTCAAATAAATCGAAAGAGTGCTCGTACACATTGCAATTTATTTTCCAATATTCTTTGTCGACCGCGTACACCCAATAATACTCGGTCTTTCACACGGAAGAAGTCTTTACATATCGCTTGTTTAGCAAGAAAAATGAAAAAGTTATGAAAACCAAGAAGAAAGTGGAGCCACCAATGGTTGGAGAAAAGAGCATTTTTTTTATTTAAACTTATTGAAATAATTGCAAGGTGAATCCAATAACTGGTGGAATTATTTAAGAATAGACGACTAACCCTCGTTTATTATGAATAAATGATACTGGTATTTGATAAGCGATATCTTCGCACAAAATAATTTCCCCCCTCACCATAGCTAACAAATACTAAAAATACATTTTTAATTACATTTTAAATTGACCTATATAAGACCCAATATTTAAAATGCATATAACTTTTCAAATTTTTATTTTTTAAATAAAGTATTTAAATCATCATTTCTACCTAGTTCCAGAGGTTATTATTATTATTTTCAACAATATTTGACATGAATATTTTTAATACATTATGACTTTTTTTTGTATTTACCTCATAAGTTATAATTAAAGATCATAAAATAAGATAAAAATTTAAAAATAAACTTAATTAATAATACTAAAAATGTTTTGATAATTTGTTGCCCCCATGATGAATTTCTAGCTACGTCTTTGTAGTTAGTATACCAATTCTAGCCACCCGAAGAAACTTTAAGGACATGTAATTTTTAACTGCTATTTCTAAATCAAATATTTGTAATATAATCCGTAAACCTCTGAGGCCAGTGGCATATCCAGATTCATTTAACGGGGGAGTTTTAAAATTTAATAGACTTATAGAAAGTGGTTGTTCTGCCCTCTCCTACTCCTTACATTTATATATACCTACGTTTAGTTAAATTATACTGTAATTAAGTTTGCAATTTGGTGAAATACCATAAAATACGATCGATGGCGGGTGTTCCAACACTCATATCACCCCCCCCCCCCCTAAATACGCCCCTGTGTGAGGGGACACACTCGAGTTGGGTCCCAGATTTCAAAAACAGAATGAATTGGGTCCGGACGTATTTTATGGAATACATGAGTTGGGTCCCAGTATATTTTATAGAACAGCGGTTCTTAACCATAGGGTCGCGACCCAATTTTGGGTCGCCAATAATTTTAAATGGGTCGGATAAAAATTTAAAACGTTAGTATAATATTTTTATTTTTAAGTCTTATAAATAATAAATGAAACCTCATGTACGTTGGTTATCATGGAGAAAAATTTTAACGAGATTTTTTGAATTAAGAACTGAAACAGAAGTATTTTTAAGAGAAAAAATTCACTGTTATCCATCCATTTTCAAGATATAATTTGGTTGACCAAAGTTGCGTATCTATCAGATATTTTTTCGTTATTAAATGAGTTAAATTTGAGTATGCAAAGGCCATTAACTAATATTTTTACATGTTGTAATAAAGATATTAACTACAATCAAAACCAAATCAAGAAACAAGCTTGATGTCGAACCCACGATGCGTATTTCACTTACTAACTCCATAGAAGAACTCTAAATTGATTCATTGGTAAAGCAACATCAAGACCAAGGAAGTCATTAAATTAAAAATTATTTAAAAAACAATACAATATTATTAAAAGAAATGTTTATTTTTAAATATAATGTAATTAATATTATGACTTGTTATGAATACAAGTAATATGAGTAAAAAATGTTATTCAATTAAGAGTACCAAATACAGTAAAACCTCGTTAAGACGCTCTCGAAGGGGAAATCGTAAAACCGCGCATTATGCGGGATAGCGTTATAGGCGATATCCCGCCTATTAAAAGCGTTTTAAATGTAATAATAGATAAAATAAAAAAGAAAAGTTTTTATAATGTGATTTGTTATGTATTACACAGTAACATAAGTTGTACATAATTAAAATTAATAAAAAAAAACATCAAATATACATACAAAAAAATTATTATTAGGAACATATTTTTTAATTATTATTTTTTGTATCAAAAAAAGTGGTAATGGTTGGTTGTTTTAGTACATTATTTCTATAATTATTCAATAAGAAATTTTCCATCCTACCTAGATATAGAAGCATGTTTTCAGAGCCATCAGTTGCAGGGAGTGCCTGTCTCAATGTAGATATTGATTGTACAGTACTAGCGATTGACGGAAGTGGTGGAAAGTATTCTTCCTTATCTTCATTAGACTCATCTGGTTCATCGTTAACTGTAACCTGATTGATAATTTCTTCAAGTTCTAGGGCCTCGTTCGTTATCAATTGGTCGTCAATGGATGTGTAGCCTGGATAAGATTCTTCAAAGTCCCAAAATTCGTCTGAGTTCAAAATGTGGGGATCTTCTTGTGAGACGTTACCAAAGTAGACTTTGTTGAAACAGTTTTTAATTACTTCTGGTTTTATCTCATCCCACGCGATTGAAACATAATGAATAGCATCTAAAACATTGATTTTGGGGATTTCTTCATCGATCATAGTTTCCATTTCTCGTAAATACCGTTGAACTAATTTCTTACGGTATTTTTGTTTTAAAACTTTAATGTTAATAATAAATATCAATTTTTCTATCGATAACAGATAAACGTTTTAATGAAATTCTTATCGCTGAATGTATTAATCGGGTTTTTTTTAATTTTAAAATGTTTGAGAAGCCAGAAATTAAAGCGTATTATGCGGGATTACGTATTATGCGGTGGCTTATTAAGCGGGGTTTTTTCAATGTTAAAAGTGTACAAGTACCTGGGACCGGGAAAAATCCACGTATTAAGCGGGATGGCGTATTAAGCGAGAGCGTCTTAATGAGGTTTTACTGTAGTTATTTTTTATTCTGCCATTGAATATGATTTATAAAAAGGTCGCAGGAAAAATTTGGTAAATATCTTGGGTCGCCACTACACAAAGGTTAAGAACCGATGTTATAGAATGCATGAGTTGGGTCCCAATTTATTCTAGCCTATTA